AGTTTTAAGTTAAATTTACCTTTCTCTCCCTGAATAATATATTTTATTTTTATGTAAATTTTATATAACAAATTTGGAAAAAAAAAATTGTCTTATAGCTTGTTAGGAGAAATGAATATGTAAATTGAGCTATACGTGGGTCCATTTTTACCCAATAAACTCTACGCTAGCCTTTTTAATTAACTCTAAAAGCTAGTATGAAAATATATGAAAATGTAAATAACTACGGTTTAGGGTGAATAAAATTTTTAATACAGCGTGTTGGAAAAACTATAAAGATATAAAAGTATATAGTAAAAAACCTCAAGCTGTTTATAAAAGTAAAAATAAACAAAAATGATCACATAATAACATTAAATTGATCTTCAATTAAAATCTCACAAACTAAAATGAATATAAGGAAATAAAAAATAACTACCTGATAATCTACACAAGGAGAGTTTTAAGTTCAAAACAACACCTATTTATAACTTTTCTCTCCTTCAACCCGTTATATATTTCCCCCTTATAACCTATAGTTATATAGAGTTATTATAGGAGGAAATGAATATATAACAAATTTTGGAAAAAAAATTGATACAATAGATGATATTTCTACGTCTAACTATTAAGTGCTAATATTATTTCTTCTGATTTCTTCTATGAAAGTAGGGAAAAGCTTTTTTCCTCTTGCAGCTGCTGCATTCACTAAGTCATCAAATGTTAAGTCTTCATATTTATATAATTCATTAAGCGAGACCATTTTCTCTTGTGGTAAATCTTTAATTGCCACGCCATATTGGTTGAAATCGTTTTTAGTTAAGTATCTGTCTGACAACTCACCAATCACTGCTATTTTTTTCACCTGTTTGATCACTCTGCACAAGAATATATCTGTTTTCATTAATTCTCCAAGTGCACCTAATCAAGAGAGTTTTAAGTTTAAAATAATTCTTATTTTTAACCTTTCTCTCCCTCAACTAGTTATATACTTTCTCTTTATATAAATTCTATAGTTTTATAGTATTTTAGAGTAAGAATATATAACAAATTTGAAAAAAAAAAAGAAAGCATTTGTATCTAAATGGCATAATTCATCTTGAGATTTTATAAGCTTGTTGACTGTCTTAAATTTATGGTAGAGTCCTCCTGTATCGCTAATTGTGTACATTCTCCTGTTGAATACACTCACATTCGGACGTAAATCTACGTCTGGCATATCTTCATATTCATCATAACTAAACCAATCCTGGATAGGTGTCTCTTTTTTTGTCACAATTGACTCTTGTTCGTCTGCTTCGTTTGGAATATTTGAGATCATTTCTTTTAGCTTGAATCAAAACAAATCAAATACCTTCAGTTTAATATTCAAAGCTGATGGCAAGGTGACAAGAAATACTGAAATTGTTAACCAACAAATGATAAACGAACAATGTAAATGTTTAATTCTCCGCACAATGAGAATATAATTTATTCAAAATTGGCAAACTATTTATACCCCAGTTTTCAACCATTCATGGAGCATTCTTTTCTTATTGCAGCTAACTTAGAATTCAGCATGTGAATAGTTAAGTCGACGCGGGCGGTTCTGATAAGCTAAAATATTAGCTGTTGTTTAATGTCTCAGTTCAAAACCCCTTTATGACTACTACACGTAGACCTGTGTGGCATAAACATTTAGCAAAAAAAGCTTAAACCAAATTAGTACGTCATGTTTTTTCTTTCCTTATCTTTTCAAGCGCAAAAATGCGTTCAAGGATAGCGAAAGTCACAAAAAAAAAGGTTACGTTGTATTCTGTTCATTTGGAGAAAAAGCGATCACTCGTGCTTCTTTTTATCGATATTATTATCCGAACTTTAGTTATTACAAAGTAATTTTGTTCTAATATATATTTACTCTGATAGAATTTAATACATTATATTTAAAATCCAACGTCTATAGACCGTTGCTGTTTGTATTGTTTTCTGATTTTTCTTCCTCCTTTTCTTCTTTTATGATACTCCATCCCATACGTTTGTTTAGTCTTTCATATCTTGATCTATCCTTGTCGCTAACACTAGGACTTATAGATGACAAAGCTTGATCAAAATCATCTATCGTTACAGATATTTGATCATCTAATCCTTCTGGTTCATAGAAACCAGAAGCGTCTAATTGATCTATTCGTTGATTGCTAAAAAATTTCTTTTTCAAAGCAGTTACACCAGCTTCTCTAACTAATGAAGACAAATCTGCACCAGAGAAGTTTCGACATCTCTCATCTTCAGCTACCGTTTCTAAACTAACTGATTCATCTAAGGGAGTATTGTTAGCTCTCACTAAGGTTCTCAATATTTCTGCTCTTTCACTGCTGGTAGGTAACTCAATATATAAGGTTTTGTCCAATCTTCCTGGTCTAAGCATAGCGGGATCGATCATGTCTGGTCTATTGGTAGCTCCGATAACAAAAATACCTTTCCTATCATTCAAACCATCTAATTCAGTCAATAAAGTATTAACCACTCTAGAGCTAGACTCGGAAAGTGAGGTATCTCTTCTTGGTACAAGGGCATCTAATTCATCAAAGAAAATAATACAAGGTACTGAAGCTCTAGCTCTTTGAAACACCTGTCTGACAGCTCTTTCTGACTCACCAACATATTTATTTAATAACTCGGGTCCTTTAATTGATATGAAATTGGCTCTTGATTCATTTGCAACAGCCTTAGCCAATAAAGTCTTACCACATCCAGGTGGACCCCACATTAGGACCCCTGCAGGAGCAGTAATACCAACCTTAAGATACAACTCTGGTTTCTTAATTGGTTGAACAATGCACATGTGCAATTCCATCCTGATTTTATGTAAAGCACCCACTGTTTGCCAAGTAACATCTGGTACAGTAGCAAAACCTTCCCTTTTGGCAGTTGGTTGAACTGTTGGTAAAGCATTCAAAAAGTCTGAGTATCTAATAGCTAATGGTTCTAATTGCTTATCAGTCAAAGGATTTGGATGCTTCAATAAGAATTGTTGAATGGTTGATAATTTTTCTGAATCTGATTTTTCTTTGAATGTTTCAACTGATTCTATAGTAGGAGCAAATGCCGTACTACTATCAACATCCATTGAGTCTATGTTTATGGCCGTTGCTAAAAGTTCCTCTTCTTGTTCACTCAAGCTTTCAAATATTCTTTTTATTGCAGTTATTCCGGCTGCTGTTACTAAACTTTTCAAATCGGCTCCTACGTATCCAGGAGTCATTTTTGCCAACTCTCGAAAATTAAATAAATCTCCTCCCTCCATTTTAATATGTTGAGTCATTGTTTTCAAAATTGAGCATCTTTGATCTTCATTAGGCACATTCAAACATATCTCCCTATCAAATCTTCCAGCTCTTCTCAATGCTGAATCTAATGAATCTGGTCTATTTGTTGCACCAATGACAATAACAGGACTACCACCAGTCTTATCGAGAGTCAACTCGTCCATCAAAGTTAATAACTGAGCTACTATTCTTCTTTCCATTTCTCGTTGAGCACCACCATCTCTTTTTGGTGTGATTGCGTCTATTTCATCCATGAATATTAAACAAGGAGCTATTGATTTTGCCTCTTCAAAAATTTCACGTAATTTCTTTTCAGATTCACCAGACATACCAGATACAATTGAGGGAGCCGATATATTTATGAATGGAACTTGCAATTCACCAGCTAATGCATTTGCAATCGTAGTTTTCCCACAACCTGGAGGACCGTATAAAAGAACACCTCGTGGAGGTTCCACACCCGTAGATTGATAAATTTCAGGATGTAATATTGGTAAACCTATTAATTCCATTAATTGCGTGGTAATACTTTCTAATCCACCTAAAGATGATAAGGTCAAAGTTGGAGGGGAATGATCTATCTTAGATTTCTGTTTCTTTACAACTTGTTTAGAAATGTCCTTTGACCTTTTCTTCGGTACTTTCTTTTCTTCATCAGCTGATTTATTTCCATTAGAAGAAATCTCTTGCACCTTTTCAGTTTTATTCACATCACCATTATTTTCATTTAAATTCCACATTGATACTACCGATTTGTTTAAAGAATTTGTATCTTTCACTTCCATCAACTCGCTGTCAGACACTCCATCAAAATCACTATCCACCTGAGCAGAATTCTGTAAGTCACCAATTTCTGACTCCTCGTCAGCTCTAATAATTTGTAAGATATCCGATATGTTCTTTTCTAAAGATGCCTTTTTCAGTCTTCTCAACTGAAAGTCCTTCAACTGAACATACTGCACAATTTCAGATATAGTAAGGTTTCTTGCTAGAGCAACACCTTTCAATGGATCGTTCTTATCCTCATCTGAAAGATTCTGCTTATTCAAAGCAGTTTTTTCTTCAAGTAAATTAAAGATCAAATCATAGATCTTCTGACTTATCGAAGCTGATATTGAGGTACCCTTAGCCATTCCTGTTCAGCGAATTCATACAACATCTAAAGTAGAATTATAGTTCAAATAGTCTTAAAAAAAATTCCATCTCATAAAAAATTTTGTCACGCTTATTATCACGTGAGTGAAGTGTGAAGAATTTATTTGCAATTATAGTCATATTGATCCAATAGCTACAATGATAATGAACAAGAGATGTTTAGTTAGGAAACTCTTAATACGTAAGAAATATGGGTTAGATTGGATTTTTAGTTGTTACAACTCGTAAAAATGTTATGTTTTACATTTAATGAAGCTGGAGAATCGGTTTCTTCGAAATACAATCGAATCTATCTGTCGTAACCTTCATTTATTTAGCTTGGGAGCCTTGTTCAATACAATCTGAGGAATGATTACTTGTCCCATCAACTGTTAAGATTTAACCTACAGAAGAATATTGGAGCCAAATAGCAATCTTATGCAATGTATCACCATATTTCGGTTTTGCGCGCTAAATAATTTCTTAAATTGCTTTAATTGCTTTGCAACAATCGAAACTCATAACTCTAAAATTTACCATGTGGCAAACGAAAGGGTCACTTGTAGCAATCAATAACTCAGAAAGACCAGAAAGACTTTTTCGGAAATTGTATAAATACCCCTCTAGATTCTCCAAAAGAATCATTTAACCAGGTAGTTATTTTTCTTTGAAATTATATAACAACATAATTAAAATGTCAGACTTAGGTAGAAAGAACATCTCCGATAAAATCAGCGAATCAGTTACTCCAGACTCTCAAAAGAGTACCCTTGATAAGGCGAAAGAAACTGTTACTGATAAAGTCGATTCATTTGCTGCTAACAACACCCCTGAAAACCAAAAATCATTCGCTCAAACAACTGCAGATGCTGCTCAAAAAGGAAGCGATGATGCTAAAGCTGCTGTCCAAGAACATCAACAATCATTGGGGGAAACTGCTGCCGAATATGTTGAACAAGCAAAGGAACAAATTACCAATGCAGCTCAATATGTTTCGGGTGTTGTTTCTGGTGCTCAAGAAGGGGCCAAGACTGGTGCTGAAAGCGCTTCCAAGTAATACCGTCATAACACATCACGGTTTCAATTTTGTCATGTATGTTAAGAATATATAGTGTATTTATCTTCAATAAATAAATTAAGACAAAATTTCTTTATTACTCTCAGACCATGTAAACAGCTTAATTTTGCAGTCAGAATAAAATAGACTTCAATGCTCTCTGAATGATACCAGAAGCTCTCAAAAGAAATTAAATTCAATTAAGGTGTTTACTTTATATTCTTAATCAGTTTAGTCAATTACAGTAGTCAGTATATCATCCTTTAAAGTTCAGATGGTATGTCCTCATTTCTATAATTTTACAGCATTCTTATCCGACTTGGAAAAAGGGTCGCACAAAATGTTAACATAAAAAAAAATTAAAAGCTCATCTTAAATGATTCTGTAGCTATCTCTTCATTATACTATAAACGATGAAGAAAACTGCTAGTGACGTTACAAATCGTTCCATTGTGGATGATGACGATGATTTTTCTAGTTCTGATGATGAGGATAATGGAAACAAAGTTTTCTTGCAAAGGAAGATAAACACGGATAGATTCGATGTTAATCAAGACAATAGCGATGATGAAGAGGAGGAGGATGAAAATGACAATCAAGAAGATGATGATGAAGAAAGTAACAATAATGATAATCTCGAAGATGATGATTTGGTAGATCCTAATGATGATGATGATGATGATTTATACTTTCAACTTGAGACTCAAGGAAGTAAAGGGGTAAAGCAAAGTGATAAATCCATAAATAAGAAGTTGAAAAAGCTAACACCACATCAATTAGAAAAGGAAGAAAAGAAGATAAAGAAGACAGGTGTCTGTTACATGTCTAGGATACCTCCATATATGAAACCAGCAACCTTACGTTCAATAATGTCAAGGTTTGGAAGAATTGACAGATTATTTTTAAAACCAGAAGATACTTCAATTTACCACAAAAGGGTGAAATATGGTGGGAACAAAAAGAAGAACTTTACTGAAGGATGGATTGAATTTGTGAATAAAAAGGATGCTAAAATGTGTGCCTCAACTCTTAATGGAAATAAATTAGGTGGAAAGAAAACTTCTTACTATTATGATGATGTGATAAATATGAAGTATCTTTCAGGATTCAAGTGGTTTGATTTAACTCAACAAATAGCTAAAGAAAATGAAATTAGACAAGCTAGATTGGCATTAGAATTGTCACAACAACAGAAATTAAATAAGAGTTTCGTGAACAACGTAGAGAAATCGAAAATGATCTCAAATATTCAACGTAAACGAAAAGAAAAAGAAATGAAGCAAGATCCGGAAAAATCTAAGGTAAGTAAGGATGAAGAAATAAGAAGAAATTTCAAGCAAAGAAAGGTAACAAGCACAAGAGCCGATGCTGAAACTTCTTTAAAAGAAAACAGCAAACCAAACGATAGACTAAATTCTGTTTTGTCAAAAGTATTTTAATGGAATTTATGATAATTTAATAGTACAGTAAATAATATATACACGTTTATAAATATACAAATAGAGATGAACACAGTGTTAAATTTTTCTCTTAGATCTTCTCTTTGGATCTTGTGGACCATACTTAACCAAAAAATCATATCTTTGCTTTAATTCATCCTTGGTGCAGTCCAACTCTTGAAGAAGGTAGGAACTATTTATGGCTTCCTTTCGCTTTATCCTCTTCAGCTTAACTATTCTATCCAATTTTGTCCACTGGCTAACTGTCCACCCTGGTATTATACGAAACTTTGATCTCTCGTTGTTCTTTCTGGTATCTGATCTAGTTGGAGACAAAGTTTTCTGTCTATTGCCTAATCCTTCATTTGATAGAAAAGGAGTGGAATTTGCAAGAACATCTTCTTTTGGGCCATTTAGAAAATGCTTTACAAAATCTGGTTCTGATTCAACAGAACTTAATTCATCTTCATTCTCCTTTGTCACATCCTCTACGATTCTTGGCTTGGGAGAATGTGTCAAAGACCGAAACCTCCTTGTAGATTGATTTAGAGCATCTAATGTATTATTCACCTTCTGAATTATACTATCTCTAGATACATCAACATCTGACTTGATCGGTTGTGGTGATCTTTCTAAGGAATTAATTGTTACAGAATCCAATTTATCTAATTGATTGCTCTTTTCCAAGACGAATTTTTGATTAGAATTTCTTTCGACCAGCATTTTCAATAACTCCTGGAAGCTATTCTTTTCGGGTTCTTCTGATCGCGATTCCAGTAATAGACTAGTTGCTACCTTAGGTATATCAGGGGTAACTTTTGGAACATCTATTCTGTCTTCATCCGCTGAAGAGTCGAATTCAATATCTTGAACATCAGGATTACCAGCCTGGTCTATAGCAGGCGATTCAGATCTAAGTGGATTGCTAAACTTTAGATTCGATGGTGGTGAGCTAAAACCGCTTGCTATTCTATTTTTAACCGGTGTTGAAAGTTCGTACTTTGACAGCTTTGTCTTTGATGGAGATATTAGTTTCATGGCTCTTATTGCTACGTCATCTTCTTCGTTTGAATCGAATTCTATGTCATCCAGATTCGTTAGCATTCTGCTCGAATTGATGGGCGGCTGCTTCAAGGGAGTTCCATTCCTCGATCGATACTTCACATAACGTGATGTATAATCATCATCCAGCTCTTTAACAGGGATAGTAGTGGTTGTCACTTTACCATCTATCACATTTAAGTCATCTTTAATGCTGACACTTGATATTGATTTATCATTTCTTAAAGATCTTGGTGTTTCTATCCCTGTTTCATCAAACTCCTCGTCTGAATAATCATCAAATGCTGATTGATACTTCGCATTATTATGGTCAAGTCCACCATAAGAAATACTATCAGAGTTAGAACCTATATCTTTCAGCATCTAATCAATGTTCATGTTTATATATTACACTTTCTATTTACTTTCTATAATTTTTTAATTCCAGATTTTATCGGCTTTTTTAACCTGTAAAAAAAATACTAATCTGCAATACGCGTCATACAGACAAAAAAAAGTCTAAATTAAATCATTCAAAACATCATCATTACATTTTGCAACATCCACATCATATAAGCCAAATGTTCTTTCATAATGAATAAGACTTAATGAATCAAAAAATAGACGCAATCTTGTCACACTAGTTATGTCTTTGACTCCGTTCAATAAAGGAACCAAGGGACCATTTGGCTGTTCGATTTTCACTGGTACATCTTTCAAGTAAGTAAGATCATATGACTTTGAAATTCTATCTATGATAGATACCAAGAGAGACAATGCTTTTCCGTTTATAACATCTGGACTATTGGAAATAAAAAGCCATTCTTGTAGATTAAATTCATCGTAACCAAGTATGAGAAGTTGATCCAATAATTTGCAGCCATTAAGGAGGAGTTTGAGCTCGTCATTGGGAATACTATTTAATTCTTTTGGAGTTCTTGTCAAAAGAAGTTCAAAGATAGATATTAACTCCTGTGAAATTATTGTCCAACGTGGAAGTAAATGTAACTCACTGAACTTTAGTGAAAGTGCTCTAAGCAAAGTAGCGATAGCAGCTCTATATGCTGCAGGACATGACATAGATAACGCATATTCTATTCTGTTAAAGATCTCATCAAAATGTTCAAGGAAATAGTCTTTAGGTTGAATAGATATGAGATAAGTCACTCTCTTTAAGGTTCCAATTTTGCTTTCAATTTCCGAATTTTCATTCCAAGTGAAAATGTTACCAGCAGTTGACAGAGCAGTAGGAGTGATCCTAAGAATCATATCTCCAATCCTTTCTTTGTCGCTTGAAATCCAAAGACTAATTATTGAATTCCAAAGTTTTGGCTTATTCGAACTGAAACTAAAAAAGTTAACATCCATAAAAGCATCAAAAACTGCATTCTTCCAAGCTTTAATAGGGTGGTATTTTCCAATTAATTCAAGTAATGTAAGGGTCTTCAATGAGATTTCTCCAAGCTTCTTAGGTCTTATTTGTGGAGTAATTAAGTATGTTATAAGAATGTTTACAACAGGAACCACTTTATCTGAATCTTGAAGTATGCTGTCTAATTGCTCTAATACCACAGAAATAGCATCTAAAATATCATCTTGAATAACTAACACACCATCTGAACTAGGTGTCAATTCCTTGGCTTCCTCGTCCTCTACTTCTTCAGCTTCACTGTTTGAGAATCCTGTCTTGCTGCTGACAGTACTATTCAAAAGTCTAGAAAATACGTCAGCGAGTTCTTTTTTATATTTTCTTTGATCTCTCAATTTAGAAACGTTGAGCTTGTTTGAAAGAATGGCACATACTTTAAGACAGTCGGGAAATATAGGTCTGAAGTGACTAGGATGTGATAAAATATCCTTAAAGAATTGAAAAGAACTAACCCAAATGTCAGAAATAGCATCAATATCAATTGAATGGAAGTATGAGACCAAAAACTTCGAAAGTTCTTTATCTGTAATGGTCGTACTCAATGAAGACCTCCTTTGTTCATCCAAAAGTTGAGGGTAGCATCTAGATATTATAGAATCAAATATATGTGGCAAAGTGATTTGGGATCTTCCACCGTCTAAAATATGTAGTAGCTTTACTACAGGAACCTCTGAAGTAGAGAATTCAACTATGGTTTCGATAACTTCTCTTCTTTCTAAGTCCATGAGTGCTTCTAATAACTTTCTTGCTCTGAATTTAAGTTTATGTCCCAATGAAGTTAATGATCTTTCAGCTAATTTAAATGAGTCTTTGGGAGATCTTGGTTTGGAATCGGACCAACTCCATATTTGAAAGCAGATTTTAGTTGCATCTTGGAAAGATAGGATTACAGAATAACGTCTGTTGTATGCAGTTGTACGTAAGGCGGGTGATTCTATCAGAAACACACCTTGTATGACAGTGTTCAAAAATCCTGAATCTGAAGTAGTAAGGGTGGTCCTCTCTTGGCTAGCCCCTAAAGCTGAACGGACTAAAAAGCTATGACTTATAGAAAGAAAATCTTCAAGTCCTGAAACTAGTATATTAATAGATGATTCGATATCTTCAAGAATTCCTATTTCCTCAAACTGAGAAATTCTTTTAAAATAACCTTCCACTTTTTTAATAATTGCATCATTCAAGCTTAATAAAACACTGAATACGGAATCATGAAATAAGTGCAAAGATCTTGTTAACAAAGAAACCCAACTTTCCAACAAAAGGGAAGTCTTTGTCTTCTCAATACCTTGAATTATGAATCTGACAAAAAGTGGTTCGGTTTCATCATCTTCAATGAGTAACAAATTCAAGTTGATCTTTAAGTCATCTGCAAGCTCCAAATAGTGAAATATTGACTTCAAGAGTTTGGTTTCTAAAAGTTCAATGATATACATCTTGTCTGTCTCGATATTCATATAATAAAAACAAATATTCACAAGAGAGTGAAACTTGCCAACGAAGAAACTTTCGCTTCCAGTTATTAACAATTCCATTAACTTGAGTCCTGTTTCCACGCAATTATAATAAACTTCTAAAGCACTTTCATCTTCTAGTAAACCAGGGTCGAGCTTTAATTCAAAGAATTTTTCAATTATTGACAAGATTAACGTTTTATAAGTAGATATCTCCCAATCATTTTGTTGTATAAGATTCAACTTAGAGCTATTATCCATAACTGCAAACTCATTGTTGAATGTTTCTTTCATATGTTTTCCATTGGATTTAAGCACATTCAAAACCGTAATCAAAAAGTAAGAAAATTGATTCAAATCATCATCAGCAACTAGTTCAACCCTTTCTGCTTGAATAAAACCAAAACTTAATAAGGGATCAGTAATAAGCTTCAAGAGTCTATTTGCGGAACCATTCTTAACCGAAGATCCAATAAAGGAAATGACAGGTTGTGAATTAGGATCATCTTCAACTGTAAGAGCATCCAATAAGATTTGCAATGGTCTAATCAAAATACGATCACCCTCACTTAAAGAGTTTGAATGGGTCCAAAGTGTTTCAAATGCCCTTACCTTAAGATAAATTGGGAGTTGAAGAAGTAATTCGATTAAACCAGCTTCAACACTATAGTGCAGAATACTCAATTCCAAATCGTAAATGGCTTTGACAGACTCGACTTGATAATTTGCTGGACTAGAAGAATATAATGAAACCCACAAGTTAGAGAGAATTATTTTGAGTAATTTTTCTTTCTCCAAATTTTTCATTGATCTTGAAATAAGATTGAAGAGTCGGGAAACCCCAAATGATAATAAAATCTTTCCATCGTTGGATTGAATTAATTCTGTTGGAATTGATATATTTAAGAAAGCATCAAGTAGATCTTTATTGAGCCACACATACGAATCCTTTTTAGGAATGATATTCAAAATGTCACATAAAATAGAAATTAAACGGTATGAAATAGGGACATCATTAAGATATTTTATAATCAAATTTGATAATAAATCAAGCGTTAAAAATGAAAGACCATCATTTGGAATTGGAAATTCAACATTCTTAATTTTAATATCATCATAAAATGTTTTGATTTTGTTGACAATTTCTAAAGGTGGAAGGGAAATTGTAGTATCTTTATTGATCAATCCAAAAGCTCTTTGGGGAATTAAGCTGATTAATAATTCAAGAATTGAAATTATTTTCGAATTGATTTCATTGGTTGAAGCATTTGATAATAAACATAATGCTGCTAATGGAGCATGGATGGTAATCATTTCTTCTTCGTTAAAGTTAAAGCTTCTCAATACAAATTCAAGAACATGTAATCTCTTTTCATCATTTTCAACTATTATGAGAATGATATCGTTCCATATATAAGATGATTCGATACCATCAAAGAATGCTTGGGCTGATGCCAATATCTCAGCATTATTCCTACTTTCATAGCAGATTTCAAGGAGGGGTGAAAATAACTTCGGAGTAAGTAATGTACTTATTTCCCATTTATCCATAATAAGTGATAATGAAATCTTAAACGCTTCAATCACCTTCAGAGACGACAGAGAATGAACAAATTCCAATAATTTTGTTGATAAGCTTTCTAAAGCATAATTCTCAAAATACTTTGAACGACTTAATGATTTTTGAACCTCTGTATCTGGTTCTGGTCCCAAAAATAAATTCCATAATCTTCTGTTTAAACTCATATCCTTCTTTAGTGTAACTTTACAACATGCCATTATTAATAATTCTTTATCAGTGGAAGAAATTACTGTATTGAAGATCTTACAATCAAGTGGTAAGTGTGATAATAATAAATCAAAAAATCCTCTTACCACAATAATATCACTAGCCGAGTTCATTGAAGTTGACGAACTTATGGCCGTTGAAAAAGATCGTATTAATAATCCAGGTTCAGGTGTTAAACATGCATTAGCTTCAGTAGAAACTGGATCATCTTCTTTACCTTCTCCTATTGTTGAAAATACAGGTAGTCTTCTATTACACCAAAGTAAAGCACCTAATCTCTTTTCAGGATTACTTATGATACAAAGAAACATACTCTGCCAAAAATGACTATCATCATCTAATTTTAATTTGAATGTATCCACTAAGTCAATCACATCGCCGAAAACTTCGGAATTTTCATCATCAAGTCCAGGTAATAAACTTAAGATGATAGGTTTTGATATGATTCTTAAATTTTCTTTTCGAATATAAGGCAATAAATATACTTTAAATATATGAATCAATTGAGGCTTGACCAGGATAGAGCAATATGATAGCACTGGTAAAAGGCCAGGTAACCAAATTGAAAGGTCATCATTCAATGCTTCTGTAGTTAAAGAACTAAATATAGATTCATAAATACTAAGTGTTTTTTGATGGACTCCATTTGGTAATCTTGACGATAAACAAAGTGATAATTTATTGGAAATAAGGGAACCATAAGGTATGCTACTTTGAGATCGAGCTGAATCTTCATTCAATTGCAATGCCTTTTGTAATCTTGATAAGAATGATATATAATCTGCCCATTCTTCTAATGAATCAAAAGTTGTCAATGCTTTTTCAACCTGTTGATAATACCTTTTATCCTTAGCTGACAAATTGTCTGGAGTATTGGATCGTTTAGAACCTAACAACGGCAACCCCTTTAATATCTGTCTGGTTGGAGGTTCCATTGAGTTGATTATATGATTGGTTATAATGGACAATTGGGCTGTATAATCGATGTTAGTTGTTATTTAGATATTTTTGGGTTTGGGAGAGAGGATCTCACACAAAAAATTATTTTTTAAGACACGTCTACTAAATTCTAACTATACTATACTATAACTACTTTAAGATATCATTTATAAACTTCATTACATCTAATAACTCATCATCACCAGCACTATGAGCAACACCATGGTATGTTGTAAATTCATAGTTGGTAAATCCAATGCTTTTATAAAACTCACTTGTTTGTCTACCAAATTCGCATGCAATTACTGGATCTTGGGTACCATGACCTTGAAATATGGGAGTATCAGCATTTATAGCAGCTTTACCAATCTTACTAGCAATGGTATCCTTTATAGAACAGAATCCCGATAATCCAATTGCTCCTCCAATTTTAAAGTCTAATAATGCTATGGTAGCTAAGGCAATAGCAGCACCTTGAGAGAAACCACCAATAATTATCTTTTCTGGGGGAATATGATTAACCCCTTTAATATCTGTCTGGTTGGAGGTTCCATTGAGTTGGTTATATGATTGGTTATAATGGACAATTGGGCTGTATAATCGATGTTAGTTGTTATTTAGATATTTTTGGGTTTGGCAGAGAGGATCTCACACAAAAAATTATTTTTTAAGACACGTCTACTAAATTCTAACTATACTATACTATAACTACTTTAAGATATCATTTATAAACTTCATTACATCTAATAACTCATCATCACCAGCACTATGAGCAACACCATGGTATGTTGTAAATTCATAGTTGGTAAATCCAATGCTTTTATAAAACTCACTTGTTTGTCTACCAAATTCGCATGCAATTACTGGATCTTGGGTACCATGACCTTGAAATATGGGAGTATCAGCATTTATAGCAGCTTTACCAATCTTACTAGCAATGGTATCCTTTATAGAACAGAATCCCGATAATCCAATTGCTCCTCCAATTTTAAAGTCTAATAATGCTATGGTAGCTAAGGCAATAGCAGCACCTTGAGAGAAACCACCAATAATTATCTTTTCTGGGGGAATATGATTAACTTCAATTTGTTCTTTAATCAAATCCTTTAAAGTATCACAACTTTTTAAAATTCCAGTCACATCTTGTCTTGCATTTGGATTACCAAATTCATAAATATCAAACCAAGATGGCATTACATAACCACCATTAACTGTAATGGGGATTTTAGGAGCATTAGGGAATACATAGTTTATGGTATCATGATTTTTTATCACTTTTGATTGATTTACCAATTGAGGAAACCATGACCAACCTTCACCACTGTCCCCCAATCCATGAACAAATATAATAGCTGCCTTAGCAGGTTTGGTAACAGATGATATACGTATAGCAGGTATAAGTGCTGACATTTGTAGTTACTCTTTTACTATAGTAGTTCTATGGATTCAAACTTTTGAACATCACTTTTTACTGTAAATAAATTGAGGCACAGTGTTATATGCACACTATTTGAAATTTTTATTAGTTGCAAAATTTTAATGGTTGGTATAATATCAATTCACTTACAGTCTGAAACGATAACTAATAACTAATGATCAATCATTTCTTAATCATGAAATACTGTCTTTAATGAATGAATTAATCAATTAATAGGTTCTTAAAAGTTGACAAAAAAGTCATGTGTTTTACATAAAATTGTGCAAAAAGTTAAATAAAATATGATAATTCGTTAAGTATATACAAGAATATTTTTTTTATGAACTAATTAACTAATCGTGAATTTTCTTTAGGTTCTTTTAATCCTAAATAAATGAATAATCTTTCCCATTGTTCCTTTTTATGAAGCATGGCTAAGATTAATACTGCCGGTAAATGCCAAACTGAACACCAGAAAAGTTTTTTAGCATGAACTCCAGCTATAGCTAACCCTTCAGCAGTTGGTTTAGCATTTTTATAATTCTTTTCTTGTTGACTCCAAAATTGATAGGCTAAATATGTTAACCAACCATTTGCAATGGCAGAATCAAATGGGAATACCCAATCGGTAATACCATAATAACTTAATCCAATACAAAGTGGGAACATTAATATAGAATATCTTAAAGCAACTCTAGCATTTAATCTTGGATTTTCTGCTGCTGTCATAACATAACCAGCTTGTTTATATTGTTCAGCAATATTATGAGATAATGCATTAAAATGAGGAAATTGCCAAGCATATAATAACCCTGCCAAACACCAAGCACCAGGATGTAATAAGGATGATGATGCAGCCCAACCCATCAAGGGTGGTATGGCTCCAACAATGGCACCTACCCAAGTATTAATAATTGATACTCGTTTAAGTGATGTATAAATCCATGCATATAAAATAATATTTAAAAATCCTAATCCGGATACAATTGGATTAACACCAAACCATAACATTATACAACCAATACCACCAGCTGTAGCTGAAAATTTATATGCTTGAACAGGTGTAATTAAACCTCTTACTACTGGTCTTCCCACGGTTCTAGGCATTTTCCTATCAAATTCTGGTTCACGACCCATATTGATAGCGTTTGCTGCTCCGGAACATAAAGCGGTACCCATAGTTAAAAACATTAATTCATGAAGTGACACTGATAATGGTGAAATGGCATATGAACAAATAGCACTTAAAGTGACAAGAACAGTTAAATTTGGTTTGGTTAATTTAAGATATGGATTGAGTAATTTAAATAATTCTGATTTTGTTTTGGGAAGAGATTGAATATCAAACACAGGAATAGTAGCAACAGTAGCAACATCAGAATTACCTCCGATGGGTGTAGTACTATTTCTGGGTAATTTAGGTATTACTTTGAATGGAACACTGTCGTGCACCGCTTTATCATCACCACCAAGTTTTTGAGACAGTTTTGCTTCTGGTTCTTGACAATTTAATACTTTACTGGCAACATTTTCTAGTATGAATGACTTTGGAGCATGTTCTGATTTAGAAATTGATGATATTACTCGTTTATTATTTCTATTTCCTAAAACAAGGAATTGATTTCCTATAAAGCTTTGTTTTATTAATATATTCTTCTTCGTATTTTGGAAAAAGAAATTGAAATTGCTAGCCGTATTCAAACTAGGAATACGTAGTATCCGAGTTGTCATTGCTATGGACAATTATATAACTCCTAAGCTTGCTTGATACAATATATTAAATATTATTAAACCTTGATTTCAAAAAAATCAAACCACCACCTTATATGATGATTTTCGTAGGTTACACTCAGAAAAAAACATCTTCCAGATATTTTTTTACCTTTCAGATATTTGACCCTAAATACACGACCCCTAGAAAATTAATCCTATTAGGTAGCTGATATTGATCATACAACAAATTTTATCTAAATCATTATTATATATATTAAAGACTTTATTTACTATCTTCAGAGACACCTTCACCTTTTTCTTCATTGCTTAAATTAGAAATTGATCCATTAACACCATCTAATTCAGGGTCAAGATCGGCATTATTCTTTTCATTTAATTTTTTATTTTCTAATTTGTTTTCGATTAAATCATGGAATGCAATAATTGCTCTGACTAAGGTACTAATATACACAATCATCAATTGATCATTGGTTTTAACTGTGAATGCAGTGGATAATGGATTGGATGAGTTTTCAGGTTTGACGGAATTGGAATTATTAAATAATAATTTTGAATCATCAGCTCCTCCTAAACTTGGTAAAAGATTAAATACATTTTGTAATTTACCTAAAATAGTATGATTAATAGGTAAATTTTTGGAATATACTTTATCCAAATAATTGGCAATTTCTCTTAACTTTTGATGTAATCCTAATAAAGATTGATAAGTTTGACTTACTTTTAATGATAAATTACCAGCTGCTTGATCTCTTATATCTCTTAATAAATGTTCAACACCAATTTCTTCAGCTTCTTCAGCTTCAATAAGAGAAGGAACATGAACAAATGTCTTTTCAGCAGCTGAACCATCATTTTTAATATCATCAACCGCGTAATATGCATCTGTTGGTATACCAACTTCTCTTGGTTGGACATCAACAATAAGTAATAAAGGATTCGAAGTATATTTTTTGAAAACTTCATTAATCTTTAAATCAGATGGTTTTAATTTAGGACCGGAATGATACCATCCAATTAATCTTTCTTTAGCATTAATCTTTTTAAACATTTCACCCATTGAATCTATAAAATTATGATCTAAAAACCATACATTTGAATTTTTTTCATCTTCTTCAAAAGGTATAGCATATGAATTGGTTACTTTTATAATATCACTTGAATTATCTCCTAATATCACACCAACCACTCTTTTCTTGGAATCTTTGGCGACTCGATTGAAATGATCAACCACGGACAATAGAACCAATGGTGATACAGTCACCGTCTTATTTAAAAACGTTAATTCATTGGTAGTAGTCCCTGTATTTGACATGTTGTATAATAATTGAATTGAATGGAATGGAATGGAGCTAGATGATGGTTTTCAATCAATGAAATCAATATGAAATAAATGACAATTACTAACTAGGATAGTTCAGTAAATCCTCCAACACTCAATTTTTGCCTTCAAAATAATGTGTCGTGCGATTACCAATTAATTAATTTATTTATAGTGTGTAAAGAAATTTAAATTGTAATGGGTTTAATATACTAAAATTTCCTTTAAATCAAAGGATAATGTTTGGTCAGATTGTTATTGGTCCTCCTGGTTCTGGGAAATCGACATATTGTTATGGAGAATACCAGTTTTTAAATGCCATAGGTCGTAAACTGGCTATAATAAATTTAGATCCTGCCAATGATAGATTACCTTACGATGAAGATGTTGCATTAGATATTCGAGATTATATTACCCTTGAAGAAATCATGGAAGAGTTGAATTTAGGACCAAATGGGGGATTGATGTATGCTTTAGAGAATCTTGATGAAGCTGGAATTGACGATTTCATTGCTCAAGTTGATAAATTAGTCGAAGATCAAAATTATTTAATATTCGATTGTCCTGGTCAAGTTGAATTATTCACTCATCATAACTCACTTTATAAGATTTTCAAGAAATTAATTAAAGTTAAAAAGTTAAGACTTTGTGTGGTATCTCTTGTTGATTCCCTTTATTTAACAAGTCCTTCTCAATATATTTCTATCTTATTATTAAGTTTAAGATCAATGTTACAATTAGACATGCCCCATATAAATGTTATAAGTAAAATTGATATGCTTAGACAATATGGTGAATTACCATTTCGTCTCGATTATTATACTGAAGTTCAAGATTTATCTTATTTAACTCCATATTTGGAAAAAGAATCAAATTCCATATTGGGGAAGAATTATGTCAGATTGACTGAATTAATTGGTGAATTAGTGGAAGATTTCAATTTAGTATCATTTGAAGTCTTAAGTGTTGAAAATAAAAGATGTATGATTAATTTATTACTGGTAATAGATAAAGCTAATGGTTATAGTTTTGGTAGTGAAATTGGTGGTGATACTATATGGAGTGAAGCAACTAGACAAGGTGGTCTTGCATATCAAGATATAGATATTCATGAAAGATGGATTGAATATAAGGATGAATATGACAAAAAGGAAAGAGAAGAAGATGACGAGTTAAAGAATGAACAAGATCCCCAATCTGGAGATGTCCCTTTAACTGAAGATGAAGAATACGAACTTGCCTTGAAACAATGGGATGAAGAGCAAGCAAGGTAGAAATTAATTCATGTACATAAATTAAATATTAACTAAAATTGTATTATATTATATTATACTATATATAGAGAGGTATTTGGGATAGGTTATTTAATAAAAAGCTATATTAATATTAGAATTGACTTGTTATACTTATTCGTTATAACCATAATTCTAAATTTGCAGTAGAAGAGTCGTGCGTCACACAATATAACTACAATAAGAAAAAAAATTTAAATCATATATAGTAAACATTATAATTACAGAAATTGATTTCAACAGGACATTTTTAACTTTAGCGATAGCAATAAGTGATTCATTATGTCTGTGAATGAATTTGATATACTATCGAATCCAGAGTATGCTGAAGGATTAAGTCGGCAGATCGAGCTTACCATATCCAATTTAATCATTAAAAAAGATGCATTAGTAAGTCAAGTTGATTTATATACATCATTACAAGATCAAATAACTAGTAATGAAAGAATACGAAAGGATAATGGGAAAGTAATGGTTTTATTAGGTGATGGTTATTTTGTTGAAAAAGATATTGATGATGCCCTTGAGTTCTTAGATCGTAGGATTGAGAGTTTAAGTGATATGATATTACAATTCAATAATAATATTAATGAAGCAAATGCTACCAGGGATAATTTTAATAGATTCAAAGAATTCTCTAAACAACAACAAAAGGGTGAAGTTGAAAATGAAGAAAACAATAAAGAAAAACTAAACGAGGAAGGTTTACCATTTATGGATATTCAAGAAGATTTGGATGATGAAGATAATATAGTTGATATCAAGATTAATAATCAAAGAATATCTAGGCTCGAATTAGTACAAGAAAAAGATCAACTACAAGAAATAATAGCCGAAACAAAAATACAGCATATTGAAGAGATCATAGATGAAATACCGAAACCGAAACTATTAGAATCTAACAGCCCATCTCATGAAACGTCAACTCCAGATTCAGATTTCACTTCCAATATAGATGATCAACTTACTGAATTATTCCAAGATATGGAAATCATAGATAAAACAGATAAATCAGTCATAGACGATGGACCTATAAATCCCAATGATCTATTAGAAAAGATTGATAAGTTAAAAGTAAGTGTTGAAGATAAATTCCGATTAAAACAGATTTGTCTTGAAGAGTATAAAAAGATATACGGAGATAAAGAAAATATAATGAATAATGAATCCAATCAAAATCAACAAGAATCATCAACTGATGATGATGTTTTCACTCCTGAAGTTTCTGAAACTTCTTTGGATGAAGTTAGAGGGAAGGAAAGAGAGCAAGTTTTAGCCTCTATTATTAAAGAAAATCATTTGAATGATTCCATAACTACTAGTACTCCAGCTACCAGTGGATTTAATTCGGTTGATAAAAATGATATTTTAGAATTAGAAATTCTAGCTGATGAATTCGATGACACTAATGAGTTAGAAGATGATGAAAATGAAATTGTACAATTTGATGATAATGAAGATTGGGATTTTGATTTTTCAGATGAAGGAGAAGAAGATGAAAACGATGATGATGATGAAGATGAAGACTATGGTGATGATATCTTATATGGAAATAGATCTTTATCATTAGGACCATCTCAAAATGATAAAGCAACCAACATGTTATGGGATCAAGTTTTTAAATTAAGAAAATCAAACAACTTGACTCAAGATAATCAAAATGAAGTAGACGAAGAAGAAAAGAGTGACCCTCCTAAAAAGAAAAAATCAGTTCGATTCTCTGAGAATTTAGAGATTAATGAAATTGAGAATATCAGTGAAGAATTAAAGTTAATGTCTTCAACTCCAACCAAAAAGCTTTCATTATTTAAACAAGAAAGAATCATTCAACATAACGAAACAATAACTGAAGTTGATGAACGGGATTACATCGATGAAGAAGATGAACCCTTGAGTGACGTAATTGAAAAGGATATACTTCCACCTGTCGAAATGTTTCCTGAAGCTCCTATAAAGAAAGTTTCAAAATTCAAACAAGACAGACTTTCTTCATTACAACCAAATGTGAAAATCATCAAAGATGAATCATCAATCAAATCAGATGAACCTATTAATAGACGTGATTTAATAAATCAATCGATTTCCGAAAGTGAAGATCAAGTTCTTGTTGATTCTATTCCAGAAACTGAAAACCAAGTTCTTGTGGACTCTATTATTGAAAATGAACATGCCGAAGAATCAAAAGTTGAAGTTGAAATTGAAGAAAAACCGCGTAAAGTATCCAAATTCAAAGCTAATAAATTAGCTCAGTCTAAACCAGTACCGATACCCATCCCAGAAATTCCGATTCCAGAACCAGTAGACTCAATAGTTGATGAAATTGAACATGAAGATGAATCAGTTGAAGGTTCAGTTATTAGAGATACAACCTTAGATTATCAATCATTACAAGGGGATGTTGATTCTATGGCCAAGGCATATGCATTAGGGTTATATGATGATGACATTGAAACTCATGGTCCTGTGGTTAATAAAATGGAAGATTTTGAAATCTTAAATAAAATGATTGAATCAATGCCATCGAATGATAATAATTCTTCGAGAACCACCAATCATAAAATAACGGAGATTTCCAATCAAAGATTACAAGATCTGCATGTTTTTGATGCCAATTTGGATACCATTGAAAAGACTGATTACGATGAAGAAGATGATGAAGATGGTCCTATCTTAGTGGATGAGATTGTGGAGAATGAATTTGATGAAGATGGAGAAGGATTAGAGGAAGATTTGGATGATACTATATTAGATCAAGAGATAATTACCAATTATCATAAATTACGTCAAAAGATTATCTTTGAAAATAAAGCCAGAGGTTATTTAAAGAGTGATGAAGAATTAGAATTTGTACCGATTGATGAAGATGGTAATACTTTAAAAGTTAGTAGATTTAAGGCGGCCCGAATGAACTAAACTACATAAACATGTATATAGAAAATTTAATGTATATTTATTATTTAATTACATTGTGTAAAAAGAGTTATTGCAAAATAATAATAATTAATATTATCATGCACTCCAGACTTTGGTTTATCCCTGGATTAGCCAATTAAATTAATATAATAAAAATAAGTATCCGGGGAAAATAATTTACGTTTAGTTTGTGTAACTTTACGGACTCGGAGTTTTTTTCTTGATTTTTTTTTTTTTAAATTCAATTCAATTTCGGTTTCATTAATTAATAATAACAATAATAACGACAAGAGATTAAATTGGATTATTTTTGGGTTTGAGTTCAGTTTAATTTCATCAATATTTTCTTAAGTAAGTAGATCAAATCGTATGATTGAAAAAAGCTAAGCATTATGAATAGAATGCGACAGATTTTGATGGTAATGAAATAATAACGACTCGATGATTCAAAACGTACAATTTTAACTCTAACCGTTACTCCAGAATAGAAGTGAGGCAAAGCATAGCAAAGCCAGTCAGAAGACTACAGCTTTGTGAGTTATTTCAGGTTAGGGGCAAGTTTCGGAGTTTCATTTAGGGATAGGATGAAGGTCGAATTTGAAAATTAAATCGACTGACAGTACATCCATGGATGAAAGGAGATGTAAAACAGTTGATAACGTCGGTATGCAACTTGTACATGTTAAACAAGAAGAAAGACGATTAGGCACCACAAAGTAATATAAAATAAATAAATAAAAAAAAAATAAAAAGAAAAAGAAAAAAAAGTCCGGTCGGCGTCAATTGATAATGAAAAATTAACGCAAGTTATTTTTGAAACAATGAGAAAAATTCAAAGTCTTTCCAGAAAACCATACCATGAAGTTATCAAATTTGTGGGGACATAAGGGGGATTAAATGGTTCAACCTAGATTAGTTAAACTAAAAGTAAAAGTAATCAAACCTTTCCATTGAGAATTCGGTGTTTAGTTTTAGTAATAACAATAATTATATGTATTCCCCAGAAAATCGTACAAAAAAATATAGATATGATTTTAAAATAAGAAAATTATGATGCAATTTCATAAAACTTTATCAATACCGGTTTGAATGTTTTTAATTTTTTATTTTATTTTAAACCGGTAGTGCAAAAGGTACAGGTCATAGATATACATTTTACCACGCTAGGATAGGGAGTAATGGATGGAAGTTTTAGTGACCGTTAAAAGATTTAGAAAACACTTGATTTGCTCATAGCTTTGTATAGCCTAAAAATTATATAGCAAAATTATTAGTGGCTAACTGACCTATATATATAATTTTTAATATTAAAGCACCAGATTTTTAACTATAAATGTTTGAAACCGATCAAATTAAAATTAATAACGGTGAATAACGTTTATTGGATCATATTAGATATCTGTAATTGCAACCAAGAATAAAAAGCTGAATCGTTAATTCAAACACCATCGCTTAACGTGAGAGAAGGAAGAGAGTGCCCCACTATTTTACCCCGAGTCACGGATTAACTTTTGTTGCTTATTTTTTTGTAACCAGTAAGGCATAAATATTAGTATAAACGGTTATTGATTAAGATATGTTAATTATAAATGATCAAATTACTTGATTCACTTTACATATCTAAACAGATTAGTCTAGATTAAATAGAATATATATAATTTGATATTTGTCAGTAGTTTTATCACAATCTAATTTAGAGCATTTTTGTTGAAAAATCTCTCAGGGAGAAGAAAAAAGCAATGGGAAATTTATCAGCCAAAAAAAAAAAATAATTAAATAAATAAATAAATAAATAAATAGAAAAAAAAAAAAAAAGAAATCAATTTAATACCGGATATTGAATTGCCGAGGGACTGGAACAAATAAATAATTAATTAAGGTAATTATCGCTATACCCTTAAGTAAATAGAAAAACTGACCTGTCCTGGGAAATAAACCAGCGTGATATCACCCCAAAATACGTGAAACCTAATCATCAATCCAAAATAATAATATATAATTAAATTTTACTCCAAACCTATTTATTTATAGGGAGATAGATAGAGATAGAAGAGAGGCTGTATCAACTAAGGGGAGAAGAAGAGTAATAGATTGAATTCCCCTCCTTTATCAAAAGAAGAAGTCTCCCCTCCTTTTATTTTTGTTGATGGTCAACGGTTTACCCTACAGTTAGTTTTTTTGTTTGGTTGGCTGCCTATCTCTCAGTAAAATAGTGTGCGCTGGTCAGGTCGAGTCAGTAAAAGTTCAGTAATGAGTGAGTGAGTTATTTGATTTACCGACTCATCCAACTAAACTAAACTCAACCCAACACGTTAGCAATGCGGATTTTTGTAGCTAGAAAATAGTAAAAAGCTTAAGGATAGGAATCTACCGGGTGTAACTTATTTTTGAAATACGACCTAAAAAAAAAATAAAAAAAAAAAAAAAGAAATTTCCAACAAAAATAAAAACACAACACGTAGTTGTATACAGGAAAGTCGAATTTGGAAAATTAATCAAAATTATAACTATTTTCTATAAACGACAGACAGACCATTTTTGAAAATGTTATAAAGATATAAATTAAACTGTCATTCCCCTTTTTCCCTAATCAATTTAAATTGAATTGAACAATTTATCAATTTCTTCTTCTTTGTTTAAGATTTTGTTATATCAACTTTTTTGGTTGTTTTCCCTTTTTCATTTCACTTTATTTTGTGTTCATCATCATCATCATCATCATCATCGTTGATTGATTGTTTCTCATTAAACTTAAATTATTCCTTAGACTAAATCACAAATATACATATCATCATCATCATCATCATCATACTATAATGTCATCTATTCTTAAACAAAGAGTTAGATACGCTCCATACTTACAAAAATTAAGAACTCCAGAACAATGTGTGGAACTCTTTAAACACGGTCAATATTTAGGTTGGTCAGGTTTTACGGGGGTTGGTGCTCCAAAGGTTATTCCAACCGCTTTAGCTGATCATGTTGAAAAAAACAATTTACAAGGTAAATTTGGTTTTAATTTATTCGTTGGTGCCTCTGCTGGTCCAGAAGAAAGTAGATGGGCTGAAAATTCCATGATTTTAAGAAGATCTCCTCATCAAGTTGGTAAACCAATTGCTGCCGCCATTAATGATGGTAGAACTCAATTTTTTGATAAACATTTATCAATGTTTCCTCAAGATTTAACTTATGGTTTCTATACTATGAATAAACCTGATAATTCTAATTTAGATTATACTATTATTGAAGCTACTGCTATTACTGAAGATGGTTCTATTATTCCAGGTCCTGCAGTTGGTGCTTCACCTGAAATGTTATCAGTTTCGGATAATATTATTATTGAAGTTAATACTACAACTCCTTCTTTTGAAGGTCTTCATGATATTGATTTACCAATCAATCCACCATTCAGACCACCATATCCTCATACATCTGCTGATTATAGAGTGGGTAGAACTGCTATTCCAGTTGATCCATCAAAAGTGATTGCTATTGTTGAATCAAATGTTAGAGATAAAGTTCCTCCAAATACTCCAAGTGATGCTCAATCTCAAAATATTGCTCAACATTTAATTGAATTTTTAGAACATGAAGTTAAAGTTGGTAGATTACCAGAAAATTTACATCCTTTACAATCTGGTATTGGTAATATTGCTAATGCTGTGGTTGAAGGTTTAGCATCTTCAAACTTTAAAAATTTAACCGTTTGGACTGAAGTTTTACAAGATTCATTCTTAGATTTCTTTGAAAGTGGTTCATTAGATTTTGCAACTGCTACTTCAATTAGATTAACTGAAGCTGGTTTTGATAGATTTTATGAAAATTGGGATGAATATTCTAAAAAATTATGTTTAAGATCTCAAGTTGTATCTAATTCTCCTGAAATTATAAGAAGATTAGGTGTTATTGCCATGAATACTCCTGTTGAAGTTGATATTTATGCTCATGCTAATTCTACCAATGTTATGGGTTCAAGAATGTTAAATGGTTTAGGTGGTTCAGCTGATTTCTTAAGAAATGCTAAATTATCTATTATGCATACTCCTTCTGCTAGACCATCTAAAGTTGATCCAACTGGTGTTTCATGTATTGTTCCATTTGCCTCTCATGTTGATCAAACTGAACATGATTTGGATGTCATTGTTACTGAACAAGGTTTAGCTGATTTAAGAGGATTATCACCAAAGGAAAGAGCACTTAAGATTATAAATAAATGTTCTCATCCAGATTATCGTGATCAATTAAAGGAATACTTTGATAGATCTGTATTCTATACCACCAAGAAGAAGTCATTACATGAACCACATATCTTAAGGGATGTATTTAAAATGCATCTTAATTTTGAAGAAAATGGTACTATGAAATTAGATTCTTGGGATCAAAAATTCTAAGGAAATAATTCCCATTCCCTTTTTTAAAATTATTTAAAACAACCCTAGATAAAGTAAAGTCAAAACCATACATACATAACTAACTAACGTAATAGCTTAATTAAATATTTTAAATATGTAAATATATATATTATATTATATGATAACAGATAGATAACACACACACACACTAACACACTTGTGACTCTGAGTCGTCCCTTAGATCGAAATGCTCATCGTACCCGTAAAATAAATAATTTTTGTTGAGTAGGGGTTATATACAGGTAAGTAAAAAAGGAGGGGAAGTTAGAACCATGGTCTGTATTATCTATCTGTGTATACACCCCTCTTTTATTTCTCCAATTTTTATCCTCCTCTTTTTCAAATCTCCAATTTCCTGTTCCTGTTCATAATATCGAGGTTTATTCCGGTTAAGCTTCTATGCAAGATATTTGATAGCAGCGGATTTTTACGATCTCTTTTTGATTGGATTGGGTATATGTTTTAGCGTATTTTATTTATATGTGTTTCTATTTTTTTTTTTGCAACTTCAATTCCGATTGAGAATTATTATTAAAGGCTTTTTTATTTTATTAACTAACTAATTGATTAACTAATCTACTATGCTTCATTTTCAAGAATACGTTTGGTCATATCTTTAAATGTTTGTTCAACTGGAATAGGAGTCCAATCCTTAAATATCTTTAATGATTTGGTATTATCAATATCAAACTGAACATCTAAAAGTGGGACAAGTCCTTTAATTTGATGAACAAAAATAGCCAATAATTTAAATAACCAAGATGGTAAAAAACGAGTTGGTAAATTACTTTGGTTTACCCCTGGAACATGTCTAACAAATTCAGTAATTTGAAGAAAATCAACTTTTTCCTTTTGATCTACAAGAATAATTCTTTCTCCTTCACTAGCTTTATTATGAATGGCATCAATATGTAATTTTGCAACATCTCTACTATCAATCACTCCCAATAAAAGTTTTGGAACTCCATATTTGAAACCACCATTAACTAATCTTACCCCAAGTTCAATACTTGAACGAGCTGATAATCCTTTTGGAGGTGGACCAAGAACAGCAACTGGCAATAAAGCGGTACCAATTATTGGATGCAGTGATTTTGTATTTTTATCACTTCTAATATATTCCCAAAATACTCTTTCAGCTTCAATTTTAGATTTTGGATAAGCCCCAATTGTAGTTTCCAAAGGAGAGAAATCATTTTCATCATAAATTGATTTATATTTTAAATGTCCATAACCAACTGTGGCAAATGATGAAGTAAAAATAATTTTTTTAGCACCATATTTATGAGATAATTTGGTAACTCTAAGAGTTCCATCACGAGCAGGTATAATAGCTTCATTTTCATCTTTTGGTTCAATCACAGGTGATGCAACATGCAAGACATAATCAACTCCTGTAATTGCTTGCTCCCATCCTTTATCACTAGTTAAATCAGCTTCGAATATTTCAAGTCTTTGCTTAATTTGTTCATCAGTTATGTTGGCAATATTCTTTTTAATAAGAGAATAAATAAAATCAGCTTTTGATATAGATCTAACTGTGGTTCTAACTTGATAGTTTCCAGCTTCAAGTAATTGAATAAGAATAGTGGCACCAATGAAACCAGTTCCACCAGTAACTAAAACAGTTTCAGTCATTATTGTTCTGTTATAATTTGTTAATTGTATAATATTACTTTGTTTACATTTGTTTCAATAAATAGTGGAATCTACAACCTTAAATAGTAAGTTATTTTTAAAAATGTGGCAACATGTTCAATTTCAATTTCAAGCATAATTCGATTCATATTGATAATCTTAATCACAATCGCAAGATAATGCTTAATTATATTGAATGGAATCTAAAAGAATATTCTTTTGAAATTATCCGTATCCGACGGACTTTATATATATTTTCAAAATTTAAACTATTGCAATTATATCATATTTGAGTTCCTTATACCTCCTATTAAATCCTTATAACTCCTGATAAAAGCGACATATCTCCGGAATGCAAGTTGTCATAGTTAATCCGATCAACAATAAACATGTATGTGGACCACTTCAAATTTAATGCTTAACTGTATTCTGTTATGATGTTTATTCATTTTGCATTCCTTCTTTTGATTCTATATGGTTCTCTTTGACGTTATGGATTGCAAAATAGGGAGAATAGTTAATGGGTTTGAGAAATCATTATTTAATCTTTCTGTATTGACCCAGTTACAATGCTACATCTATATAATGATGATCATGATCATCAATATCTCCTCATAACAACTAAGAAGGAAGATAATCAAAATAAATCGTTAAAGATTTAAAGTCATATTTATATGGACAGAAAACTTTACTTTCTCAATTTGGAATTAAACGTTATTTTTCTAAATTAAGCATTATTTCCGATATTCGTTCCGGCGATAAACTCCTGGTTCGTAAATGCGTAGAAGGAATCACTCACATGTTAATTAATTAATTTAAATTTAATTTAAATTTAAAGTAAGGGTTACAATTTGATCCATTTTAGATTATAAATGTTTCTGACTTTTGATCTTATTCATCGTAAACAATATCTATTGTTTAAATTTTAAATTTACAAATAAGGGCTAGGGGTATAATCAATCATTCTTAACTTTAAATGGTTCATCTAATTCATGATCAATTATTGAGCCACGAAATAAATAGTACCTCAAGATATGCGCTAATATTACTTGCTTGCTTGCTTGCTCCTTAAAATATTAGAATGCTTATCGATTATCGTATTAAAGGAGATATAAAGGGGGTGGTGGAGGGTGGAGAATGACTACATAAATAAATAAATATTGATTGACCTGACGAATATAACATGTTTAGATATTCAGACATTTTTTTCAAAAATAGAAGTTTATTTTGGTCGTCTCAACCTTTTGTAAAATTTAGTATTTTACCGGATAGCTAAGCAGCTTACACTTACACATCACACATTTAATATTAATTTTGTTGGTTGTGAGGCGGCTTAATATTGGATTGTTGGTCTGCCTCAAACTAAAGGATGGTTTGATTGTTTATCCTTGTTATCAGACAATTAGTCAGTCAGTGTTTGAAAATAATAACTCCATGGGGCGGTGGTGATAGCTTAAGGACACCCTGGACCGGCCAAATTTAAATTTGATAAAATCATCTAATATATAGAAGGTTTGGTTCCATGTTTAAATTTGAGATAACCGATATTTACCGCCCAACCTTAATTTTTTGATTTTTGTCTGCTGTCCTGGAAAAGCATACTTCAATTCCTAGAATGGTTTTATCCAAATATAGAAATAGCCGGGTCGTGCACCCGAGTCTGAAAAATTCTAAAAAAAAAAAAAGACAAAAATAAATTATTATGGATAAATTTTCACTTTTACTTTTACATGGATAGAAGTGGCATCATCCTTAGATCATTGATAGAATGGCTCTATTTCATTTACGATATCCTATCCTCCACGTACATCGACAAAATCTGAATTTGTGTACATCGGTCCCCATATTTCATAAAAGTTGTAATAAATAATAAAATGCAGACAAAAAAACCAAACTGAATTAAGAAAAAATTGAGACAAAAACAAAACAAAATACAAAATACAAAAACCGTTGGCAAATCTCACGTAAGAGAACACTTGTACAATTTAAAAATTACATATCAAACCAATTGAAACGTTAGATCAACAGGAGATGGAAATAACAAAACCTTGAATGTTAAAAAGTAAAGCTCAGAAAATGGGCCCATTTAACGGATGGGAGTTTATAGCATTGGAATTTTAATAATGGCTTATGAGCATATCAAATTGTTTTTCTTGATTTTAGTGAATCATCCATAAACTTTATAGATATTATATTATTAATGTTATCAAAAGGGCGACATCATACATATTCAACCTAATCCACTTAACTGCTTAAACTACCTGATTCTACTGCACTTGAAGCATCTTCTTTTGTATTCTTTTCTTATGTGGTTTTTTCTTGATTTGGAATATCCGTAATGCTCTTCCCTCCCTATTCTCCCCCCACATAAAATTCTCGGTCGGTCAGACAAAAATATTTTAAATTATATAATTCAGACATTTTTTTTGTATTATTTTATTTAATTTATTTTTGTTACTTCTTCTATAGCTTTTCTATAGTCTTTAAAATATGTTTTTAGACTTAAAGTTGTTAATGGAAGAATAAACGGGAAAAACATAGTTATAAAATTAACAGTTTGCTCATAATTGTGTAAATAATAATTAAAATCAGGGCGGTAAGTTTATTGTTATTTACCTTTAATTATGTTTTGAATAATTTGAATTGAATTGAATTAAACTTATCGGAACGTAACGTAAATATAAAAATTTAAGGTTGTAAAACTTAATCGTCGTCATAATGCTGGATGTTTATTGCTATTGTTATTCTTTCTTGTGGTCAGATTCTAATTAGTAAAAATGAATCGCTATTCCTTTCTCTTCTCATCCTCAATTCCCCCCTTTCGCAGTTTTTTCATATTGTCCGATAGTAAATATGAAATATTCTACAGCATGAAAATGAAATTTTAAAAGCAATCTTCTCTGTCGTCCACATCTTGGTTGTTAAGTTCGACTGTGTGGTTGTCGTTTACAATAGTATACTTTTTTAAAAATAGCTAATTTTTTAGTTTTGACACAACTAATTTTTTATTTTTAGTTTATGTTTATGTTTATTTTTTTTTTGGTTGGGGATTCTTCTTTTTTTTAATTTTAATTTTAGACAGTACATAAAGATGAAACGACGATTATATTTATGATTATGATATAATTACATTATGTGTTCTAAACAGCTAAAATATGTACATGAATGATAACGTAATGGATCTGATTGAATTATTATAAAAAAGACAAACAAACAAATAAATAAATAAATAAATAAACAAAATACTGGGTTACTCTACTCTACGCTACTCTAAGCTAAGAAATCATAAGCATGCTTGAACGATTTATGCAAATTTCTTTCTTTACATTTGGATTAACCTTGCATGATTATAGTATTGAATTTCAAGAGTTTTTGTTTTGTATATGGCTAAGGATTTAAGTACCAGTTCCAACCTTAATAGTAGGCGGAGATTTTACACACCAAACTCGGATTAATTTTTAGTGGGATGGTCCGAGCGAGCGGGTCGAAAACTAAATCAAAAATCAAAAAAAAAGAAAAAGTTACTACGGTAATGATTAGAGAGCAGAGCAATATAAACTGGGAAGATATAGACAGCATAAAAAACTCAATTACGGTGCTTTAAAGCCTTATGGTGAATAACAAACTAAAGTTATCCTCCATTTCGTTTACAATCCCCTTTTAAAATAAACTTTTTACTCCTTTTTTTGACTCAAAAAGGGAAATGGGAAAGAAAAAGCCATTCCTCTAAGCTGATAGGAATATGAAAAATAGCTAAGAAAATCAACATTAGTTCGGTGGTAACTTGATTTAAACAAAATTGGGGGCAGTTACAATAGATGAAATTAAAAATTAAAAATTAAAAATTAAAAATTAAAAATTAAAACTAACACTGAAATGACAGTGCCAAAGCCCGTTAACTTTATACGGATTTCAAACACCATTGAATATTTCATTGTCTCTTAATATATATATTATTGCTTATTTTGGTTTTTAAGGTGGGATTACTAACTGTTAAAAAATACATTTTGCATTTATAATAAAATTGTAATTCTAGAAGAGGTCTAAAATTTTTGTCATCTCATAAAGAATCCGCGCGTTTTATTTCTCTCCCTCTGTCTTTTTGTCATTTTCGTCAGATTTTATAAATTAAAATTTATTTAAAGTTTCTTTTTAAGAAAATGTCTGATTTTGTTTTTGTCTGATTTTTTTGCTGTCTTTATTCATTTATTTATAACAACTTTACATTATTACCTAATTTAACTTTAATTAATAATCCGTTAGGAATATATATATGTTTTAAATATTGCAAATATCCCAAAATATCCTACAATTTTATTTAAATTTGGTAAACAAGTTTGTTTTACTTTTATAACATCCTACTTTCATCTTACATTTATATATATTCCTTTTACTATTAATTGACAACCACTTTAAAACCTCACAATCCACTATAACTACAATGTTCATTATTTCCGAATTCAACCCTCAATTAATGTCTGATTCCGATAGTGAAGATTTCAATAATGATGAATTACATGATAATATAAACTCCCCCAATCCAAATTCAACCATTAATACTTCCGGTTCAAGTATTATAACTTATAAAGGTCAAATCAAATCATTACATGATGCTTTAATTTTATTAGAAGCTACCAGATTACATAAATTACCAACTATTAATCGTAGATTATCATCATTTGAACGTAAGAAATTTATAAAACCAAATACTATTTTTATTTGGAATGAAACTAGTTGTGGAATGAAAAGATGGACGGATGGAAAGATGTGGTCTGCTTCTAAAGTATTTAATAATCATTTTTTAATCTATTATGAAAAGAATGATAAAGATAATGATGGATTAATTAAACAAAGTTTTTCATTAATAACTAAAGATCAACAACGATTACATTTGATTTATTACTTTAAGAAATCTCAATTAAATGAAATGAAAGCTTCTGCAGTTCATATTAGAAAGAGAAAATTATATTCCCCATTGACATCCGATGATGATGATGAAGATGAAGATTCAGAACATCATCATCATCATCTTCAACAAGATACACAACCATCTAATGTAAAAGTTCCAAGTCAAGATCCTACTTTGAAAGATCTTGTTTTAAGTAAAGATGTTTATCCTCAAAATTTATTAATAGAAATACCCACCAATACAAGTTCTAATGACATAGCTACTTCTTCTCCCACTACCACCACCGCCTCCACCAAGTTATCATCATCGTCATCATCACATAAAAAGAGAAAATTAGCAAGAAGAGGCTCGCCACTTGAAGACTTACAAGAACAAACTCCACCATCATCTGCATTTACTACACCATCATTTTCAGCTCAACAATTAAGATATACTACATCATCTAATATTACTACTAGTACCACTACCCCACTTGTACCTGATCATGCATCTAATACCGCCACCATCAGTAAATTAGTTAGTCCTATTCCCGTTAGAGATTTCCATTCAAGAGCTTTGCCACCCATTGGGGAAGTTTCTTCTTTTAGATCGAGATATAATGGAGGTTACGATGTCTATACTTTGAATGTATTAGATAAATGTTTCGCTTAGATGTGGTCATCAATGATCTATTTATATATCTCATGTATTTAGTTTGGGTTTTCTTTGTCGCGTCTTGTTCATATAAACAACGGTGTTTGTTGTTGCTGTTTGCTTTTTATGATTATAATTTGTTTATGTTATTAACGTTAGATTTAGGTTATACTTCTTTTTTTAGATTTTATTTGTTTGCTATATTGGAAATTATGTTATGTTATGTTATGTTATTTATTTATTTATTTATTTTAGTTATTTATTTCTCTATTATTATTATTATTATTATTATTAATTAGTTAGTTAGTTAATTTGATATTACTCATGTTTAATAATAAAATATAAGTCGTAACTAAAATCACTTAATCGCAGAAAAAGGCTGTGGATATAAGGGTATATGGGCTTTAGGGTAATGTACATTGTTAATTTATTTTTGTTTGGTTGACTTAACTTTAAATCTCCCGATATATCCAATTTTGCCTAAACAGAAAATGTCTTCTTTTTTTCTTTCTTTTTTTCTTTTTTCTTTTTTTTTTGCAATTTGTAATCTGTCTGTCTGGCGGTGTCTGTCAATTTTTGTCGTTTTTCTTTTTTTTTGTCAAATTTTTTGAGCAAATTCCTTTTTATTGCCCGAGCCGACTTTTTATTTACATTTAATATTTTTTGTTTTTGTCTGATTCATTATACACGACAATTTTAGTCATAAAGGATCATGCGACCAAAAATCCAAATTTGGAATGACATTTCCGAACTATCGTTCCGATTCTTTATAAAATAGCAAATCAATCTGTACTAAGAATTATTATTGCAAATTACTTGTAATCATACTTATGACCTAACAGATGAGGTGATGAAATAATGGAAGATATCCATGTCAAAAACGGCATCTCAAATCGATGTCATTTATGTCTGATATCACCCATCACTATTAGTTTGAGCCACTTCCCACCACTACCACATTCACATACACATTCATATTGATATTGACATTCTACGTATATGTAAATAGCAGTAGAGAAGAAAGAAACAATTTTATTGCAACTTTGTGGGTCGAAGAATTTTTTTTAAATTTTTCTTAGACATTGGGGGATCAAATCGAACGATGGTAAATCTTACCGAATGAAGCCTTCTTAGTGGTAAAGGAGGTACATTATAGATTACAACCCGATAATGTTATTTTTTCTTAATCATCACTCCATCATCACACAGAGTAATTTGTGTCCTGATATTACATACGCAACTTTAAAATGAATTACTAATTGTTTATCGTATTTGCAACTGTTTTCAAACCGAGTGGTAATATGTTTTTTTTTTTTACTTTTTTCATACACTATTACGATAATTTGCATCCCTTACGGATAACAGGAATTCCGACTATTACAACATCGATTATTATTAAATATTATTATTATATTGTCTATTAATAGTTGATTCACCTGTATGTGTACTGTGTGAAATGAATGTGATTGTGCTTACTACATATATAATACATACTACCCCAAGGATAAATTATTTAGCCCTCCAAAATTTAACTTGCTTGGCAAAGGCATATTTAATTGATTTTATAATTCCAGCACTAAAAATACCCATTATAGCTTGCTTTATTGAACTTAATTGAATAACTCGTTTAATTAATTTAATAATTTTTTGATTTAAATCTTTATCTTTAACAATTTCTCTTAATGATTTATCTTGATACATTTGATATAATTTAATTCTAAAATTTAATGGTAAAGTACTTATTAAATTAATTTTATTATTAATATTTAAATTCTTTTTAAATATTCTTTTATGATTATCATTTTCAATTATAATTAAATAATTCTTATGAATAAAATATTGTAATATTGGTTCATATAAGATTTTAAAATAGGGTAATTGTTTTTCAACTATATTTTTAACTTTATTAGGATTTTCCCCTCCAATATACATTCGGAAATCTCCCAAATAACTAATTCGAGTAATTTGTTCATATAATTCAATCTCATTAAATTGTTGATTTTGAATTAATAAAATCCCAATTGTCATGGCATTTTTAAGATTATATTGATTTAAAAATTTAATCATTAATTCAGATTCAGAATCAACTTTATCAAATTTAATATAATTTATTGGTTTTTGTAATCTTCCTGCAAAATATAATGATGACCATTCAATAAGATCTAATTGAGATGATCGATATGAGATGATTCCATATTTTATTAAATGATGGTTTAATCGTATAAATGGATTGAAATATATCCCATCTTTACCTTGAATCAATTTAATTAATGATAAATTCTTAAATGAATAATGGTCTCGGAATTGTTTCAAGTTTTGACGATGAAATTGTTGATTATCTTGAACAATATTAATGAAATCAATTTGTTTTTCTTCCCCTGATGGTGATTGTTGTTGCTGTTGTTGTTGGTCTTGTTCATTATATCCCGTTTGAGGAAATACTCCTGATCCATATCCAATTGATACTTTGATAGGACTATCAAAACTATCTATAATATCTTGTAATTCTTGATGTTGAACCACATCATCAATGACAATTTCTTGATTCTTAGCTTGGAAATCTTTCGGTATAATCAATTTATCTAATCCTCGATACCCCTCACTGATAATTGGTTGATAGAACTTGTCATTATATGGAGTAGTACTAGAAGTGAAAGTATAACTCTTGGTAGATGATGTAGAACTATTACTACTACTACTACTACTATTGAATCTATAAATGTGTCGAATTATCCATTGTCGATGCTTTAAGTTTATTCTTATCATATCATGCAATTGTATGTTGTCAATTGACCTAATATGAACGGAACCTCTACTTACTTGTTATGTACAATATGATGGTTGATGGTGATAGATAACCTTAATTATATCAAAAACGTATATAGTAAGAAAAATTTCGATGTAAACAATAATAATCTTTATACGTGGTGGTCCTTTTTTATTTATTTATTTATTTTTTGTTTGAAGGAATGACTATATACAGGACACAAAGTCATATGACCAAATGCACATGATTCAACATGTGACATAAAACCACCTGACTCCGGATCATGTGTCCGATAGCGGCTTGAGAAAACTAATACTGCATATAGCCCATCACTAATTATGATTCATCTTTTCTATTTTTTTTCAACAAAACCCACGTAGGTCAAATGGACCATTCAATGAAGTTATTCATTATAATTGAACAACAACCAATACTATAATAACAAACATGTCACAAGTGTATAGATCTTCACGTTCAGAAGAAAGTCAAGCATTGTCTTTTGAAGATGTGGTGATGACTGGTTTAGCCAAAGATGGTGGTTTATTCTTACCATCTCAAATCCCCAAATTACCATCTAATTTCTTAACTGAATGGTCAGATTTATCATTTAATGAATTAGCTTTTAATATCTTAAGATTATATATTAATGAAGATGAAATCCCAAGTCAAGATTTAAAATCTTTAATCACTAAATCTTATTCAACCTTCAGATCTGAAGAAATCACTCCTATTAAACACATTGATACTAATCTTTATTTATTAGAATTATTTCATGGTCCAACTTATGCTTTTAAAGATGTGGCTTTACAATTTGTGGGTAATTTATTTGAATATTTCTTAACCAAAAAGAATGCTAAAAAGGCTTCTGATGAACCAAAAGATTTCATTACTGTCGTTGGTGCTACTAGTGGTGATACTGGTTCGGCTGCAATTTATGGTTTAAGAGGTAAAAAAGATGTTAATGTATTTATTTTATATCCAACTGGGAGAATCAGTCCTATTCAAGAACAACAAATGACTACTGTTGAAGATTCTAATGTTCATACTTTTTCATTAAATGGTACTTTTGATGATTGTCAAGATATTGTTAAAGAAATATTTGGTGATGAAAAATTTAATGAAAAATATCATGTTGGAGCTGTAAATTCAATTAATTGGGCTAGAATCTTAGCTCAACAAACTTATTATTTCTATTCTTATTTCCAATTAAAAAAAATTAATTCTCATGCTCAAGTTAGATATGTGGTTCCATCGGGTAATTTTGGGGATATATTAGCTGGTTATTATGCTTATAAAATGGGTTTACCAGTTGATAAATTAATCATTGCTACTAATGAAAATGATATCTTAGATAGATTCATTAAAACTGGTAGATATGAAAAGAAAGTTGATAGTTCAGTTAAAGCAACTTATTCACCTGCTATGGATATTTTAATTTCATCTAATTTTGAAAGATTATTATGGTATTTAATTAGAGATTCTATTGCTGGAAATGATGATAAAAAAGCTGGTTCTATTTTAAACAGTTGGATGAAACAATTAAAACAAACTGGGTCAGTAGTTGCTGATAAAGAAGTTGTTGAAGGTGCTAAAATTATCTTTGAATCGGAAAGTGTAAGTGATGAAGAAACCATTGAAACTATTAAACAAGTTTATGAAAATCATCCTCAAAAATATATTATTGATCCTCATACTTCAGTAGGTGTTACTACTTCATATAGATTTATTGCTAAAGATGAATCATCATCAAATAAAGTTTATATATCTTTATCAACTGCTCATCCTGCTAAATTTTCGGAAGTGGTTAATAAAGCATTAGATTCTATTCCCGGTTATTCCTTTGAAAAAGATGTTTTACCAGAAGAATTAAGACAATTGAATTTAAAGGAAAAGAGAATCTTATTAATTGATGAAGCTTCCCTTGAAAAAGTTAAGCAAAAAATTGTTGAAATATTGAAATTCTAAACTTAATTTATATATATGTATAGGTATTAAAAAAATAAACAAAAAGATTATTAATTAGAATCATAATTTTGTAGTGTGATCTACGACTTCTGCTTCAATTGTACTTTACCATCAACGATCTCAACTTCATATCCTGCTTTATCAATAATCTCTTCATTAACTTCATTAGTTCCCTTAGCTTCTAAATCAGCTACAAATTTTTGATTTTGAGCATTTTGAGATAATAAATATTTAAGACAAATAATTGCTCTTTCCTTTATGAAGGGATTATTATCATCGATAATACAATTCGATAACACTAATTCTAATCCATGTAAATGACGAACTTTTTCTTGAATTTCAAAATTCTCAAAGGTTAAATATGATATGATTTCTATAATTAATGATTTTACTTGAGGGAAGGTGGTCTCTTTATTATCAAGATCTTCAAATCTGGCCCGAGTTTTCAATGTAATCGGTTTGATATTATCATGGACAGCTCTGAATAAGGGAATTAATGAAGTTAAGATATCATAATGAATTAACATTTTAGTGACTTGATTGAATTTACCTAAATCACTGATAATATCAAGACAAATGATTAAAATCAATTCATTCAATTCTTTATTATCTGATTCCAGATCATTATTATTGGTGATTGTATCTATGCAAACTTGACTAAATCTTTCAAACACTTTTATAATCCATGACACAATAGCGATTAATTCATAATTATTCCAATTATCTTTTGACGTTATTAACAATTGGCCAATTTTCAACCATTGAGAGAATGACGCTAGATTCTCCTGGGAAAGTAAATCATCATCCAATAACCAATTTCCAAAACTTTCATGGGTGATGATTTCAGTTAATAACGTGATGAAATTATGTTGGAATTGAGAAAATTCAATTTGTTCATGATGATGGCTTTGATTTGTTATAAGGGGATTAATATCATCTTGAAAATGAGTTTTGAAAAAGTTCATAATGTGATTTGAATCATAATTGATTTGTAATAATTCATATATTTGTTCATTATGATAAGTTCCATCCGATGTAATGTTATCTTCCTTTGAGGTGAATGAATTATATAGGAAATGAGTTAATGGATGGATATAATCTTTCTCCAAGACTAAATGTGATAATACCCCATTATTAATAGATAAAATAGATCCCTTTGATAGTATAGGATCTTGTATATTTGCCAATATTTGGAAATAAATCGTTATGGTTTTATCATAAAATGGATTATCAGATGAGATATTAGTAATGAAATTGATCAAATTAGTTAAGACAAACAGAACCAACTCATCGTCACTTGTTTCAAATCGAATCACATTTCGAATTAGGACAAGAACACCTCGATAGAGTCGTACCCATATGATATTATTCTGATATTGACATTGGTTGATGATGGTTTGTAAGTTATTCCAAATGCGATGATCATCGTCTTGATATGAATCTTGGGTTGAAAAATCCATTAATTCCAAAATGAATTGAAATTCTGATTCATGATTTGATTGGATCTCATGTTTATCTGATAGTATTTGACCTAGGTTATCTAAACCTTGAAGTATGGTATCTGAATGCATCAGTTCGTTTGATGTTATTAATAATCTTTGTTATACTTTTAGATCGTTTATTTTTTCAAATCCCATTTTGATATCTCAAAAAAATAAACGCTACCACAAAAACAGAAAGTTCTACAAAAATTATATCAATATCAATAACAAGTTTTATTCATCTAGTAAAGACAAGTTAAAGCTATAAGAACATAGGATAAATAAAGAGTTTGTAAGAAAACACATATTTAATACAGAAATCTGAAACTATTCATAAGAAATAGCAAATAATAAAGGATAACGATAAGAAAGGAAAGGAAAAAACGGTTAAAACTTTTAAGTTTGGTGTAAACCAAATTCATCTAAAATAGTTTGATTTTTATAGAAATCACAAGCATGAGGATTAACATAACAATACTTTGGAACTAATGGAGAAGCAGGATAACCTAAAGCAACTAAATATTCTCTGAAATTAAGAATTCTTTGGGTTAAGTCAGTGGTTCTTAAATAACCGGTAGTTGGATCTCTATTACCACTCCAAGTTGATTCAGCCAAGGCAGCAGCTCTTGGCCAAATCTTTTGAGTGACAACTGCTGAATCAACTTGTTCAGACCATAAGGCAACTTCAGCCCCTAACACATGTTGAGCTTGTTCATCAGTTAAATTAGCGGTGAAATCATAATCATAAATTCTTTGCCATGTTTTATAAGGATTACACCATGAACCACCATTTCCGTTATTGAAAGCTTCATTAGCATCAATATCAAGATATCTTGGATCATTAGTAATCCAACCACCATAACCACAATCAAGATAGAAATGATCAGCCGAAGATACAATGACATCATAACCTTTTTCAACTAATTCAGGAACATATTGAGCTCCATTCCAAGATTGTAAAATAACAGAATCTTTTGGAACAGTATTACCATTTAAAACCATATCTTCCCACATGATTAATTTTCTTCCTTGTTTTTGTAAATATATTGGAATAGCTTGATCTAAGTATACTTGAGCTAAATCAGTATAAGTTCTTGAAGTATTGGCAGCTAACCAAGCTTGAACTGTTGATGAGAAATTATAACAACCACCAAAAATTTCATCACCTCCAATATGGAATACATTATCGGGGAAAAGAGTTCCTAATTCTTGATAAATATTATCTAAAACTTCATAAGTCTTTGGATATAATACATCCAATTGACCTGGAGGTGGTTCAAGTGAAGTTGCTAATGAGTAAACATCATTTGACCACCAACTTTCACCACACGCAATCAATGCAGGATCGATTTGTTGCCATCCTGCTCTAGCATGAGCTGGGGCATCAATTTCAGGAATGATTCTTACCCCTCTATTTTGAGCATAAATAATTAAATTAACGATATCTGAAGTTTGATAAATTTCACGAGCGGAATAAGCATCATTAGTTAATTCAGGATAAGTTTCTAAATAAAGTGGCCAACTTGAAGTATCTTCAAAATGAATATGTAAAGAATTTAATTTACTTAAAGACATAATATCAATTTGTTCTTGAATTTTAGCCACTGAAATGAAATTTCTACCGGTATCAATTAATAAACCACGATGAGGAAATAAAGGTGCATCCCAAATAGATACTGAATCTTCAATGATATAATTATTATTATCATAAATAATCATTTGTTGTAAGGTAGTTAAAGAATGTAAGGCACCCCAAATTGTAGCGGCATTAACCGAAATTCCTGATGGAGTTACATCAATAGTATATGTTTCATTGACCCCTAATTGTAAAGCAGCATCGAAATCATCAACATTAATTTCAATGGTTGAAATACCACTATATCTTTTATCGAATCTTTTTTTAAGATTAGTAGCAGTAGGGAATGGTTGCATGGAAGACATTGGACCTTCAGTGGCAGCAGGATACCATTTCAATGATTCGATTGAACCTTTGATTCTAACGAATGCATCGGAAAGGAGATTATTGTCTTGATTTAATTGAATGGTTAAACTTGGGACATTGATTTGAATTGGACCATCGGTTCCCCAGGTTATATTTCTAGGAGCTGGTAAAGGACTGACTTTGACAGCCACAATGATTGCAATCAATTGCAATAAAGATATTACTCTCAATATCAATTGCATGTTTAATGATGGTTATGACTAACTAACTAACTAAATGAATTGAATTGAATTGAAATTAGGAGTAGGAAGTTGAAGTAGGTGATTTTACATTGATATTTATACTTGAACGATGGTTGGAGTCTCCTATTTTTTGGATATAATTGTTGTTGACAAGATACTCAATTGGGGATAACTGAAGAATAAGGTATTCAAACTTACAGGGCCTTAATCAATCTTTACTTCATCTTCTTTTGGTTGTGAAAAACTTAAAAAATACAACATTAAAAATAATATGTCTTCTGGAAAGAGTCGTCCCCCTTATTTTTTATTTTTTATTTTTTATTTGTGAGCGGAATATACCAAAATTGGAATAGCGCATAATTAACAAAAAAAGTCTGGGGGTTAAAGAAAGTGGAGAGCCTGAAAATGTACGAATACCGTTTATGACTTGCCTTGGCAATTGCTGTTGGAACTAGCAGACGAATTCAATTTCTAACCAATGGAATTAGAGAAGAATTGAACAAACGAAATATAGTAATACAAAATGGAAAGATATTTAGGGTATTATTGAAAGAATACAATACCAATATGAAGTTCATACTCGAGACCAATTAGGTATTCATTTTTAAACAATGACAATATTTTTTAAAGCGGAAATGCTTTAAACAATAACGTAGTAAACTTATTCAGATAACGCAATGATAAACCTTTGGTGGTTAGGAATATAAAAAAATGTGCTTAGTAAATCAAGTTGATCGAATTAATAGGTAACCAAGACATAGTTAGAGCCTTCCGAGGAAGAGGGAGTAGAATGGTATAAGAAACATTGTGAATCAAGGGAAGAAAAAAGTAAAGGCAATCATATACTACTATGATTTATCATTGTTCGATTTTATTATAGTAATTGTCTTATAAGTTTTAGTTGTTAACCGACTAATGATAATAAAAAAAAATTTCAGAATTTAAAAAAATGTAACCAAAATCTCAAAAAAATGTAACCAACCGAAAACGCTATTTATATCTAATACATACCAAACAACAATAACCACCTAGTATGATCATAAGGCTAGATTATGCTGATAGAAGGTAATGATATGAGGTGACAGTTAGATATTTCAATTCTACTTGTACTTTTTTGTCTTTTTTTCTTGTATGGGGTTCAATTTTAAAAAAATGTAACATAAACTATTTAATTAGCAGCCAAATGTAGAATATACCCTTTGATTAAAGAGTTTTTGCGAGTTAATAGGGGAAGGAGTTTGAAATCGATTGTGAATGAGATAGTAAACAATGGAGAATGATTGGTTTATTGGTGAACCGGTGTATTGTTGGATATGATTGAATTGAATTGATTGATTGATTAAGTTATCTTATCTTTGAATAGTCAATAAAGAGATTAATTGATAATGTTATCACGAACCGATACAGGGATTGCTTGCGAACAGCAGTTGCGATTGTGATTGTGATTGTTATTGTTATTGCGATTGAGCTTGTGAATGTGATTGAAATTAGAATTCCCTTTGTTATCGCTTGATTGAAATATTTTTCCAAAATTTGTCAACAATGAATAACTATAATATAAATGATTCAATTTCCTCATTTTTTAAAAAAGTTTAATATTTATTCACCTTACCATTGAATGTTAATACAACAACTCCAATGCTTTATATGATGAGTTATCTGAAAAGACCAGATAATATCATATATTAATACTGCCACATTTATGCTCATGATTCCAAAGCACATCCCATTCGTGTACTCATTATAAAATTATCATGCCTTTTTTGATTAATTATAAAGGAAAGAAAAGGAAAGGAAAGGAAAGGAAACGAAAGTAAAATAGATTCATTCAAACATATAAGTTTCAATTCTCATTGAATAAAGTTAAAGGTATGTCTAATCAATTAACATACAACTAAATTGAAGTTTATCATTCAAACCAAGCGCAAATAAAAAGGTTAAAAATAATATTTTGCGTGACAAGAAAAGCCATCAAAGTTTTTTTAAGCCACTTATGTTCATATATGGATTACTTTATAACTTTTGAAGTGTAATTCAATTTGGATCTAATAATGAACTATTTTTGGACAACTACTTGTCAGAGTTGTCATATAGATAATTTGTAATAATTTTCATATTCAAAATTTGTAGAAAGATCATAATCTGTATAATTTCTCTTTTGTTTTCCATGTGGTTGTGATTTAAAGTTTATGCTATATTAGAGAGACTTGATTAAATCAACTCTTATTAGTAATATCTGTGATTGAATAGATGATAAGTATTAAACTATTAATGATTAAGTCATAAAATCAATCACTAAATCAATTATCTACTTTAATAATACATAATAAATGTAATAATAAACAAAAACTAAAATCATGACCCTATTTAAACTTACATATTCCCCATTGATATAAATAACCATTATCGTAAACCATTTTAAACGAAGATCTACAAATAATATATCTTTTTAATCAGATAAGTAGGAGAAGTAGGACCCTTTAAATAATAGCCAAGAAAAACCAAATGTCTTTTTTTTGGTACCTTAAATAAAACTCATGTCTAAGCGATTACATAATCTCTGACGTAATAACAAAAATAGATAAGAACCAAAAAAAAAAGATAAACGAATCACAAAACAGACAAAAATAAATCGGAAATGTGTCACAAGAGATGATGATGATTTTTTTAGTGAGAAAGAAATGATTGACAGGGTTAGGGAGGAAGAAATTTATTTAGTGAGAAAAACAATTGCTAACAGAACTTAATGATGATGATGATGATTAGTACGATTGAGGGGAGATATCATAGCATAAACAACTTTAATATTATCAGATATTCAATAAATCAGACAGACATTTTTTTTTTCAATTACTGGTTTTACGTCAATGGTTAGATTTAGGGTGTCAGACAGACAGACAGACAGATGCACTAAAAATTTCTCGGTAAGTCTGGGTAAAAAAAAAAAAAAAGGCTTTAGTGACTTTACTTACCGCCTACACAAAACTTTAACTAATGGATAAATTGCAAATCATCAAATATTCTATTCCTTTTGAATGATATAGTTTTATGAGGTATCGGGCTTTATATAATAGAAGGGGAATTGATGAAACATCACATTATAAGCTTTTATCACTTTTAAACCATGTACCCACCTCCCCAACCTAAAAAAAGAATGTATGATGGGTCCAATGGACAGTGGGGTTTAGATTACGGGTATTATTAATATAGCCGTATGTTAAAAATATTACATGACTTTTTTCAAACTAGATTTCTATAGAGATGGATAAAAGTTGAATGGCTGAGATTGAAGTTGAAGTTATCGATGGCGGAACTCAGCAGTGTGGGTATATTATATTATATTATATTATATTATTAACGGTTCGGGTTAGAGTAGTTTGTTTGCTTCACCATTACGGTGAATGAATGATTGAATGAATGAATAAGTCTCCACTTTTATCATCGATTGATTTGATTATCAATGACCCATTAAACATGATATATACTATCATAGTAATGGATGGTATTGTATTATAACTATATATAGCGGGTTTAAGATACAATTATTGGTATGATTAATAAGTTAAAAAAAGAAAAGAATAAAAAAGGGTTGCACACTTACTGTTAGTAAGAGAGGTTAGCAACTACCGGATCGAGCAAACTTAAAATTTGATGTGATTCTAGACACACATACATACAAATTTAAATGATATTACTCACCTTTTTAATTCGGATAGCGGTTTTTTAATAGGATTGATTAACCAGTCAGAGTAAATCATTTAAAACTTAGACTAGACAAGATTAGACATAAGCCGTTACCTAACTAATTCAAAAAATAAATTGCCTCGGGAAACATTGTGTTAAGTTTTTCATTTCTTTTTTTGGTTCTGAAACTTAAATAATGAGATCATCATTTCATTATGGCGATTGTATATGATTATACATGATTTGATGAGAGGGTTATAGTTATGTAATTAAATCACGTAATATATAGAATATAAATACGTAAGGGTTATTATGGGTATTGGAGAGATAAAAATAATATCGTGATTAAGTAATGTAATCTATGTAATTAAAAGTATTCTACAGCACTATTGTTATAATACAAATATTTTTATATATTTACATTTACTTTGATTTGAATTTTTTATATAAATAACAAGTTGATTTCTTTTAAAGATTTTCTAACCCACCCACCCACATCAGGTTTAACCTTTCTATATTTGTTATAATTATAGTTTTTGAGTCTAAGTTTTACTTTCCCCTATTTCATTTCAGATAGCAAGACAGAGAGAGAATTTCTTTTTTTTTTGTTTTGAATCTCCTCCTAAAATCACAAAAAAGAAATTTCCATTTCCATCCATCCACTAATTAGAGAGAAATACTGAAGAAAGTGGGTTATTCTTCGTATTATTATTATTAGAGAAGAGATATCAACAGCGAGAAGAGCAAAAGTGGACAACTGAAGGTGTGTCCATTATTATATCTATATAACACACTATATAATTCATACTACTCATCCCTTCCATATACATTGTTGAATCAATTATTATAGAAAGTGTGGTGGTATTTAAGTTTCCGAGCGGATAGAAATTAAAAAAGTTTTGTGTACAGTCTTCCACTCACTATCTTTCCACAATCAATTGTCAGTAAATCACAAATTTCTCACAGGCAGGCAGAAAGTTATTTAGGGACAATCCGACCGCAATCAGATTTAAATTAAATAGGAGATAGCGACATAGAAATAATTAGACATCACAAGAAGAACCAGAACAAACAAGAAAGCTATTTATATATTTATAATTTCTTCCTTCATTCTTCCTTTCTTCTATATCTATTCTTGATTTAACTATTTGGTCTTTCAAAGTCTGGTTATTATCAAGATCTATATTCCTTTACCTTCTTTCATTTACTTCACAGTTTTTCTTTGTGGTGGAAATTTTTTTTTTTTTTTTTTTTTCTGTCGTTGATTTAGTGATTCAATTCCCCTATTTATTTTTATCGTTGTTTCATGGTTGTAAAATCATTGATTTCATCATATATATCAACTTAATTCAGTATAATTCATCATCTATATATTCATAAATCAATTTACAGTCAATGACAACCATAATATCAACTTTACCGTTGATTCCATCATCTCATCAATCCTCTACAATGTTATCAGTAAAGACAACCACTATCTCAACCGCTGATTTATCAGTAGAAACAGTAAAAGACGGCATTTTAAATACTTCAACTTCAACTTCATCTGATTTATCTCCTACTTATCTGCCAACAGATATATCATCAAGTTCATCATCTTCTTCATCTTCATTTCATTCTGCATCTCCTACCAATTCAAACAGACCTTCAACTCCCATAAAATCAAGACCTTCAACTCCTTCAACTCCACCATCTTCAAATATCTGCTCTACCACCACCAAAAAAATTGCAACCCCAAAAATTATTAATAATACTACCAATACTAAAAAGATTCCATATTATCAATCAAATCAGGATAATTTCTTACAATTAATCGAACCATTCCCCGTTTCACCTCCAACTTATGATACTTTACCTCCCGGTGGATGTCCCAAATTCCCTATCTTTAATACCAATCATTTTCCTCATCATGATATCTTACCTAGTTATTCTCCCTCCATTTATAAAATCGGTATAGTGGCTCGTAAAATGGAATGGTTAACTCCATTTGAAGCATCTCCATCCCGATCTTGGAAATATATCATTATGGAGTTGAATTCTACTCAATTGAATTTTTATGCTATACCGAATACTTTGGAAAATCATTTATTATCATTTAAACCAATCCCACAATCAAATGAACGTACGATGAATCAATTTGAAGAATCAGAATTAAAGAATTTAATGAGTGATTTCACCTTGGATGATGATTTACAATTTTTTAAATTTTGTCAACGATTGAATTTAATCGATAATGGTAGTTCATTCCAATCCACCAAACTGAATAAAAAACTTTTAAGATCTTATTCTTTACAACATTCGAAAATTGGGTTAGCTACCGATTATAAGAAAAGACCCAATGTTTTACGATTAAGAATTGAAAGTGAACAAATCTTATTAAATTTCTTAAACACTAAGGATTTAATTGATTGGAATATGGCAATTAATATCGGGAAGGATATTGCTCTTGATTTAAATGATCGAGAAATACCCAAATATAGAACTGTTCCCAGAAGAAGAAGAAGATCAACCACTGTTTCAGCTTATAATACTAATCATTTAAGTAATATTAATAATCGATTTGATGATCAATCTATAAGTCAAGTTTTAAATAAACGATTAAGATCTCAATCTGATCCAAATAATAAATTAAGAGATAAATTAGCTAAATTGAAATTTAAATTTGGAAGTAATAATAATAATGCTAGTGGTTCTTCAAGTTCAAAGAATGTGGTTACTCTTGGTTCTTCACCTTTATCGGCTTCATCTTCAAGAATGATGACTTCTCAAAGTGCCAATGCTACCAATTCAGCGCCAGTAACTACTACATCAGCTACTACCACCCCCACCACTAATAAACTTGCTACGGTAAGATCTAATTCAGCTCCTACTTTTTCAATCTATTCTGAATCAGAATATGAAGATGAATCAGCTATTAACTCCACTTTTGAAGAAGATGATTACGAAGAAGATGAAGAAGAAGAAGATATTGATACTTTTGCCTTATTATCATCTGCTACTACTAATGCCGCCAAAAAGGCCAGAGTTAGAGCTAATACAATTCCAACTATTATGACTACTGCTCCAACAGGTCAATCCCAATCTCAAACTACTACCACCAGATCTAATTCAAATCATATTGATTATGATGAAGAAGATATTCAAAATTTAAGTGATTTACATCATTATGATGATGACGATGATGAAGAAGAAGATGAATTTCAAGCTGATGATGGGGAAGATATAATTACTCCAACTTTAGGAGAAAGTCGTCCATCAACTTCATCCAATTCTTCATATCCTTCTCGTCCATCCCTTACTTTACCTCGTTTTGATGATAATGAAGATTATAAATGGAGTCCAAAATTAGATAAAACTCCAAGTAAAAGAAGATATTATAAGAATTGTTTAAGATGTATTAAACCTTTGACAATGGAAGATTCATGGGTTGCTAAATCATTAGTTAAACCATCATCTTTATCTCCTTTGAATTATGCCTATTTAAAACATGTTAAATATAATACACCTGCTACGATTGGAAATCAAGATAATGCTATGATGAATACTAATTTAATTTCATCATCACCAGCTAGTAATACAAGTTTAGTAAGTTTAAACTCATCTATTTTTTCATCACCATCTACCACATCATTATCGAATCATAGTTATACACATTCTCAAGATCCATTATCAAATAATTCATCATCATCTACAAATAGTTCAAAATCATTATCTTTTAATTCGAGAAAACCAAGAAGTTTCTCATTTAAAGAAATGAATGGATTCAGTTTACCCGATAATGTATTGACTAAAGTTCCAAATCATTTCTTAAAGGAATATCTTGTGGGAACTCATGGATTGATCCCAAAAGAACTTTAACTTTAGTGCTTCCTTTCCTTTTTTTTTTAATTACTTTTCATGTCCATTAATGTTAATGTCATTTTTATTATGGTCGGTAGGGTATAATGCTAACTTTTTTAGTTTTACTACGGATATTTTGCTTTGCTTTACATTCAGTCATTCACTTTACAATTTGTTATTTATTTACTAATTTTATTCTATTCTATTTTCTATATGGTTTTCTTTTTATTCTAGATTTATAGACGGCTTTTTTAACGATTTCCTTTTTTTTTTTTTTAAATTTTTAATTTTCATCATGATCATTATCATTAACTATATACAAATAAATGATGAGATTAATGAAAGGCTGAACGCCCCCATAATATCATTGTAATATCTGTCTCTCCTTTTGTAATTGTCTAACTCTCGATTCAAAGGCTTTAATCATAATATCAGTAATTTGTTGATTAAACAATGAACTCAACGAATTATATAATGGATTCTTAAATTGATAATCTAATTTAAGATCAACTTTACATTTATCCAATCCACCTTTGACTTTAACATTTTTGAAATTCCATTCTGATTTTAAAAATTCAAATATTTCACTTCCTTCACTATGATTCACACTTTCCGCTATCACTCGTTGATTCATGATGGTAGTTATATCACAGATGAATTCTTCTTCATATTGTTTCCATCCAACGGTTAAGCCGGCTGAAAGGGGTAATCCTGTACCTTCATCTCGAGATGAAACGAAAGATCGTTGTAAGAACGGTATAAATGATGGATATTGATCTATAGAACTGACAATTTCAAATAATAATGATGCATTACAATTATGAATGATTTTTGTAATGGTATAAGATTGAGGTTGGGATGAGATGAATGATGGTGGAGTTATGAATGATCGGTATTGATAGTGGTATGTTGGTTGTATGATTGATCTTGGATTGATCACTTGTCTTATTAAACCATTTCGTATCATCATTGTATATAATCAATCCATTAAGATAGTGAGTAAAACAATTAAATTGATTCGATGCTATCTTCAAATAGGTTTCAAAAATCACACAATTGGTCGCAACTTTTCATATGCTCAAACTAACCATTATAAAAAACTACAACATTACAAAGTTTAAAGTATATACGTGATGTTTAATATATATTATATTTGGTGTTTTTGATTATACATTCATTTATATATAGAAGATTGAATGCTTTAAAAAAAAGCATTCAAAATTATAAGTTTAGGTGAATGAAATAATAATAAACATATGAAAATGAGATTATACATAAGGATTTCTTTAGTTTAATTTAGGTTAAAACTTAGTTAGCTTTGGTATAGACAGATTGTTTAGAATGTTTTAAAACTGGAACAATGATACCTTCTTCTTCTAATTGTCTTAAAGCAACTCTAGCTAAAGAACCACCAATCTTTAATCTATCAACTAAAACAGAAACAGAAACATATTTATAGGTTGGAACATCCTTTAAGATTCTATCGTATTTTTCTTGATCAAGAACAATTAAATGTTGAGCCTTATCCTTAACTTTACCTTTATTCCACTTCTTTTTACCTTTTTTACCACCAGCTAAAGCGGCAGCAGCTTTAGCAGCTTTAGTTTGTTGAACCTTTGGAGCCATTTCTAAAAATAAAAAGTTAGTATTTGAAGTCTTATAGGGACTTATATCAGGGGTCATTAAAAGATAATGAATAGAGGAGAATGAATAATAATAATAATAATAATAGTGATATTGACGATTGATTTGAGGGAATTAATTAACATTAAGAAAGTGATGGATGATTTCTACAGTGAAAGTGATGATCATTACTGACACGAGTACAAGACATTGATCTTACTCATTGGATGATATGATAAGATATCATATTGGTGGTTGGAATTGTTATTCATTAATTATTATTTTTTTTGATAATGGAAAATTCTTTCATTGGATGAAATAATAGTGGAATAACATGATTCATTGGAATGATAAACTGAAGAATAATTTCACTTGATCTACCTGAACTGTGACATGATCTTTACATCTGGGTAGTAGTTGATGTGATATGATATGATTTGACATGACATGACATGATAAACTTTTTTACAATCTTTTCAATTTTCAATAACTTTGATAATACATGGTATCAAAACATTACTATCGATATCTTTCCATATTGATTCATTCTATTCATTAATCTCTAATGAGATGATACTATCTATATCATATAGGTTGAATGACACATACTTATTTGACGATTCTTGCTAGTTAAAAGGAAAAGATTATAATAAGAAAATCAAAAGTTAACAATTTTTTATTACTATAATTTTACTCTCTCCAGAGGAGTCTCTCTCTGTCTCTCACGCACTGTAACAGAGTTTTGGCTCTCACTGCTAACAAATTTTAATTAGTGTGCGTTTCACACTTTAATTCTTTTCTCATTATGGTAATCGAAAAAAAGAAAAATTTTCTCATACTAAATAATTATATACAGGCCAATAAACGATCACGTGAGAAAGTTTCACAGACGATCATGTGACCCATGTGACCACCAGGTCAGTAACCCTACAACCACATTTATTCACGTGATTACATTTGTTTAATTTTAATTAAAACTAAAATCGTCTCTGTCTCAGCAAACCTCAAAAGGTCAAAACTCAAAACAGCCTTTATTACCAGTAACTAACACTTAAGTAGAATCAACATATCATTAAGATCTAAGTCATTAGCTTGTTTAAACGCTAGATAGATCATATTATATACATACTATACTATCATCACCATCATGTCTAAACGGATTGCTGATGATCAATTAACTAAAGATAATTATTTCAATCAAGATGGTGATATAAATCATAATGGTAATCATAATCAATTAGCTTCTTCAGATATATTATCAACTAGAAAAATATTAAAACCAAGAGGTCATCTAGGAAGTGGTTCAGGTGTAGGTTCATCAACTGGTACTACTAACGGATTTAAATTTGGTTCAACTGTACCTCCTCAACCTTCATCAATCTCCACCACCACCACCACCACACATGGTGGTGATTCCTCAAATCCATTCTCTGGGTTTAAACCTTCTCCAGCCCCATCAACTTCATCATTCGGTGCTGCCTTTAGTAATGTCGGTAGTACCACCACTACCACCAACACCACCACCACTAATGACTCCGAAAAGAATAATAAAATTAAAGCATTAAATAATAAATTCATTGAATCAATCAATCAAAAACATATTAATAATACCATTGTAAATTTCACTCCTATACTACAAACTTATATTAAATATTATCAAGATATAGAACATGAATTTAAACCATCAGTTGTAAGTTTACCTTCCAAACCAACTTTTCAATTTAATCCAACTCCAGTATCAGCACCAGCACCAGCACCAGCTCCTGTCCCTTCATTGAATGGTACTACTACTACTAAACCAATTCAAATTGAAGATCAATCAATGAATTCATCAGATGATGAGTCATCATCAGATGAGGAGGAAGAAGATGATAAACCAAAAGTTACCAAGATCGAAGGACCTAAATTCACTCTTGAATCTAAACCAACCGTTAAGAAATCAGTATTTTCATTTGGACCAAAACCACCTCCAAAACCAAAAGATGATTCAGATTCTGATAGTGATAGCGAAATTGAAATTAAAGGTCCAACTTTCACTTTTAATAAACCGATCCAGGATAATGTATTTAAGTTCAATAATGTTGATCAAAAGAAGGAGGATGAAAAAACTAAATCATCATTTTCATTCAATCCTGAAAAGAAGGAAGAATCAGAGCCAACTTCTAAACCTCTCTTTTCATTCCAACCACCAACCAAGGAAGAAACTACTAAACCTGCATTTTCATTTGGTTCTAGTACAACTCCAACTTTTGGATTTGGTTCAACTCCAACTAATAAAGAAGATGAAAAACCAAAACCAACTTTTTCCTTTCAACCAACCAACACTACAACCACAAAAGAAGAACCTAAACCCCTTTTCAATTTCGGCTCATCAACTGCATCTACTACCACCAATGAAGAAAAACCAAAAGATCCAAAACCACTCTTTGCGTTTGGAAATTCGGCAGCAACCACTACAACCACCACCACTCCTTCATTTAACTTTGGTAGTACTGTAAAACCAACCTTCACTAATGGAGCTTCCACCTCTGAAGATAACAAACCATCCATTTCATTTGGTAACACCACCTCCAATGATACTCCAAAACCATTTTCATTTAATCCAACTCCAGTAGTAACCAAAGATGAATCAACTCCAAAACCAACTTTTAATTTCGGTTCATCAACATCTACGGCCACCACCACTAAGCCAACGTTTAATTTCACTCCATCTGATTCAACTGCTAAACCTATCATACCGGCCTTTGGATCAAATTCAACTTCAACTGATAATAAACCAGCATTTCAATTTTCATTCAATTCTGCATCTTCAACCACCCCAGCTGAGACTAAACCTGCTGCTGCATTTTCATTTGGATCAAGTACGAATGGAAATGGAAATGGTCCTAGTTTATTTGGAGGTAATGCTTCTACATTTTCATTCAAACCCCAAGATAAGAAAGAAGAATCGGTCCCTACTACCGATGGAGATGATGATAAAGTTGAAGAAGAAGAAGAAGTGGAAGGTAATTTCACTCCTGTTGCTTCGTTGGCCAGTGAACAAGTTGATAGTTCTACGGGAGAAGAAGGAGAAGAAACCTTATACACCAAACGATCTAAATTAATGCTTTATAATGATTCAAAAGATGGCAAATCACCATATACGAATATCGGATTAGGAGAATTAAAAATCTTAAAGAATAAAGAAACTTCAAAGACTCGTATTTTAATTAGAGCCGATGGAGGATTACGGATTTTATTTAATAGTTTGATATCAAATCAATTGGTATATACTTCTTTAGGAGATGGATCTATGATTCAAATTCCACATATTAATACCGAAGGGGTATTAGAGAAGTATGTGGTTAAAGTTAAGACTGGTGATGATGGGAAGGAATTATTAAAGACTATTAATGAAAATAAATAAGTAGCGAGAGAGAGAGGTCATATGTATAATTAAGTAAAATATTAGAGTTATGTTGATACAACACGATTTAATTAATAAATAAAATTGTTTATATTATTGAAATTTATACTTTTACGTTTCTAACGGTTTCTATAAAATCAAATTCATAACCGACATTCAAATACTTTGGATCGACTTTATTATTATTTCTCTTGGAGTTTAATAAATTAATGATTTCAGATTTTGAGCCGAATAATTTATAATTTATATGATTGAATAATCCCATGATGAATTTTATCATTAATGATTCATAATTTTCATAATGTTCAAATATAACAATATCAATTATATGTTGTGATATTTCGAAATTTAAAATCCCAGTTAATAAATTATCAATAAGGATAGGTAAATACTCCATAGGGGATAAATTTATAATTTTAAAATGAGTCTTTAATCGATGTAAATGATGATTGAAATTATCTTCGAATTTAGTTATGAAGGATGGATTGGATAGTATACTTTGGTTAATATTATATATCTGATGTAATGTCATTAAGGTTTTATAACTGTTTTTATAATTGTAATAGAGGATCGCTATTAAATTAAGATAACGAGGATTATAACATTGAAGTAAAGGAGTATCTGATGATTTAGATTTTGATTGCAAGAATAATGTAAAACTTATCATTACTCTGGTTAATTTCAATTTAATTTCAGTATTTTGGAAATAAAGTATATCAGGAAACACCATATCTAAATCTTGATTAATTAATTTAAAAATTGGATGATTCTGATTTAAAGAATCAAATTTAGTGAAATAACCATCACAGAATTTTTCATTATCATTAGTATTCAAATTATAATTTAAATTTAATGATTTCCACCATATTTGACCTCGAATATTATCATTAATTTCTTCAACTTGATCAATAATTCCTCTCCAATATAAATCTTTAAAATTCTTGGTTGATTTAATCCGACCATTAAATCCAATCAAATTCGATTCTAATAATAATTTATGCCATATTTTTAAATCTTTATTACGTTGATATTTGATTTTTTCTAATGTTTGTAAATTTTTCAATTGTAAATTTGATTCTTTCATCACAGCCGAGTTTAAAAGTTCATTTGATTGTTTTTGATGTTTGATTCTATCGTTATTATCCTTTGGGGGTAAGAAAGTTGGTCTGGTAAAACTTTGATAATTATTAGTGATTATAAGGGAATTATGATTGGATGTAGAAGGAGTTGTCGATGTTGATGGAGATGATTGACTTGGTAATGATATATGTTTTATATCGGAAGATGTGGAAGTTGTTGAATGTAAACTTAAACTTGAACTTGAATGTAAGGAAGGTAATGAAGTATTTAATTTTTTAAAACTTGTTAACATATGTTTCATTTGATTACTCTTTTCAAACATTTGAATATATTCATTTTGATTAAATAATAAAGTTAATTCTTGAGCATCCTTAGAGATTCGATTAAAATCAAGTTGATTAACTGATGATATTGAAGCAGTTTTATAAAATTTAGGTCTTTCAAATGAATCATCATTCATACTGATTACAGAAGAATTTGAAGTTTCATTACCAACTTCTACTTCTTCACTAATACTTAATATTGATGATGCTCTAGTAGAAGTATCGGTATTAGTAAGGGAAAACTTTCTCGTATTATTATTATTATTACTTTGTTGTTGGAAAGGTTCTTGAAGGAATAAATCATGATAATTACCCAGTAAAACAGGTTGACCAAAGGGAAGATTATTATTATACATATAATCACCAAGATAAATATTTTCATCAATCAATTCATCTTCAAAATCAAAATCTTTCTTATCATACCGATTAGAAGGTGTGCCTTTTGTTGGTTTACTCTTTGGACCACCAATATGAGTTTCATTTGATTTAAATTTATTAATGGAATCATTTAATTGAGATTTTCTTAATTTTAATCGTTGGGATGGAGTTAAATTCATAGGAGTTTTATTAACTTGAATCATATAACTTGATGGATTATTACCATTATTAGTGATAGAACTGGTTGAAATTGTACTTGCACCTGAAGATTTTTTGGATTCATTACTACTTAAAGAAGCAGATCGAGTTATTTGTTGTTTCAAAGGTGATGGTTTTTGATTTGTTTGAGGAGGAGGAGGTGCTGGATGAACAAGAAGTTGGTTTGAACCTAAATCAACTTCTTGTAAGTTTGATGAATTATCTATTATGACTGGTAATTTAGGTAGTTGTTTATTATTGACTGACATGATTATTATAATTTATGGGTATATGTTTAAAGAAAGACTAGGGTAAGATTGTAGGGGGTAAGCGAATGACTAGGACGATGTCCTTAATGGAGGAGGAATACTTGACTCAAAAGGAAGGAAGGAATGAATGAACGAAGGTGATGACACGATAAGGTTTGGATCAACAGGGGTTGGATGGATAGTTTGATATTGGTTGGAGTTTCAAATTAAATTTTTTCTGTTTGAGATTAGACGATATAAAAAAATGGATCACAATCAAAAGTTACTGGTAGCGATAAGATAGGATGACGATGAATGACTAGTTATGATTGTTGGTTGGTTGCTTGATCTGTCTGTCACAGTAGAAACAAGGTTTTGAATGGGCAATGATGGGTGGTGGCTAATATATACCAATAAATAAATGAATCTCGTTGTTAATTATTAACAAGAGATAATTTGAGAGATGAAGAATGTGTTTTATACGATGGTTAAATTTCGAGGTAGGTACAATATAGAATGGAATACACGGTTAAAGAAAGTAGTAATTCCTTCGCCATTCATTGTTCTTTACACTTTAAATGTAAACATTCATAAAGATATACTATTATTATTATTGTTCAGATTCACCATAACAAACAACCCCCCTTTCAAAAATAGAATTTTGTGTCAAACTTATTTTGATTATGATTATGATGCGTCAAATTGAAGGGTGTGTAAGGTGAAGTTGTACATTTCCACAGTAGTAATGGGATGCTGATCTGAGTCATTCACTTCTACTTATGGGTTAATTTACTATGTAACTCTTACTTTGTTCAATGATCTGGTTGATCATAGTTCATCGAATATCAAAGAGTTCAACTGGTAAGTGAGACAACAGATATCTTTACAATGTTAAACATTATCATCTTCGAGCTCATACTGAAATTCCGTTATCATATCACAACGCCATATCTCAATCATCTTCATCATCTTCATATTCACTATTTCATTTCATCATTTCATCATTCCATTCCATTAGAGTTAGTCTCTCTAATATAGTAAGCTCATCCCATACATACTAAAAATAAAATCATAACAAAAAAAAACATTTCGCGTTTTATTTTTTAGTTAAATAGACGCGTCTTTCTGCCTTCTTGTTTTTGCAATCACTTTATACTGTTATTATTATTCTACGAGGAAGTGGGATCATCAACTGGTTACTGAGATGACCACAATCTGATATTGATTTACTATTGTAATGTTCGCACTTTAACTGAATCCGTAATTATCATTTACCAGCCATCTTTCTCATTACTTTGCCCCCAGTTAGAAATATCTGTTATGCCTTCTTTTAAGCCTAGAGTTTGATTATATCGTAATTATGAATAAGCTATTTCTAGTTGACAGGCGAAGTAGAATTAAACTTTTAAATGGCGAAGATAACGTGGCGATGGAAGTCTAACGCCACCACAATCCCTAACATCTTGACTTCTTTAAGCTAGTTAAATGCTATTGTTCAACTTCCGAAACTTGGCAAATTTCATTCTTTCAAAATCCACTTTACTTGGCAACATGTTTCGTACTTTTCTACCCTAATAAAAACCCTTTTACACTCACCGACTACTACATCATTAACAATATATAAATAAAACATTAATTTATCGTCATATATATAGACAATGATTATAAAAACAAAACATATTTACAAAGTAGTTTACCGTTTATATACAAAACTAGACTTAAAAACAATCAATCAGAATCTATACATATTGTGTTCTGATCAGTTGTTTTCATTCTACTCTATTATTACCATTATTAAGTATGATTATGATTAGTATTATGATTACTTCTACTTCTTCTTCTTATCATCGTCCTTGGTTGAATTATTACCATCCATATTAAAAAACTTACCCAAGAATTTTCCAATTCGATTTAACTTTGTAGGATTTAAATCATTCTCATCATAAGTTTTAGTCTTACCATCAACATTACCTGATTCACCTTCTCCTTCATCTTCACCTAAATCTAATTTCCAATGAGCATCGGTTCTTTTAGCATTTTTATCATTAAAAGCATCAGCCAATGCTTCTAATAATGCAGTTTGAATAGGAGTTTCTGGAATCAAAGTCTTAACTTTCAAAATCACATCTAAATCACCTCTATTATTAATGTTTCTATTGATTGGTACCCCCTTTTCTGGTATGGTTAATTTTCTACCATTTTGAACTCCAGGTCTAATCTTTAATTTAATATTTTCTCCATCAATAGTTGGAACTATAATCTCTCCTCCTAAGGCTGCTGTTGTCATTAAGATTTCTTGATTCACTATAATATTATTATTAACTCTCGAAAACGTAGCATCATTAGATACACTAACTCTTATAATTAAATCTCCATTCTTAGTTCTATTATATGGATCTTTAGCTACAAATGGTGCATCACCAGCTCCTGGAATTCTTAATCTTGATCCATCTTTAATACCAGGAGGTAATTCAATTTCAGTTGATTTTGGAACTTCTTGAACTCCATGACCATGACAAGTACCACATTCATCAGATTTAGCAATTTGAACTCCTGATCCATGACATGTACCACAAGTGGATGACATATGGAATCCACCTAAGACATGAGTACTTTGTCCACTACCATGACAGGTTGGACATGTTGATTTCTTTTTACCTTTCTTTAATCCACTACCTTCACAAGTATTACAAGAATCAACTGCTTTATAATTAATTTTTAATTTAGATCCAAATATAGATTCTTTAAAGGAAATCGTTTTTAAAACTTCAATATCATCCCCGATATGTTCAGTTACAAATGCACCACCTCCACGACCTCTTCCATTGCCCCCTCTTTGACCTGTGAATGCTTCTCTAAATAAATCTTCAAAATCAAATCCCATTCCTCCTGCACCACCACCGAATGGATTACCACCATTTCCAAATGGATTTTGACCTCCTGCAAAGGGATTAGCATTCCCATTGGCATCAAACGCAGAAGCACCAAATTGATCATATTGAGTTCGTTTATCTTTATCACTTAATAATTCATAAGATTCTTGAATTTTATGAAATCGAGTTTCAGCATCCTTTTCCTTATTAACATCAGGATGGAACTTCTTCACTAATTGATAATAAGCTTTCTTAATATCTTTTTGATCAGCTCCCTTATCAACTCCTAATACTTTATAAGGATCAAAATCAATTAAATTACGATTAGTGGAATGGAATGATCTTATTCTTTGATTTTGTAAATAGGGAGACGAACATACTCTGACACTATGAGATGATCTCGATAAAGTATGAATGGATCTCTTAAGGACAGTTTGTGACAATTTCGAATTGACAAGCATTAAATTATTCATTATCTCAATTCAATTAATTCATAAAAACCACAAACAAAAAATGAAACAACGTTTATATCACTAATTCGAAATTTGAAAAGCTATGAATTTCTAGTTGATTTAAATTCAATAGCAAGTATAGCACGTATTATTAGTATTGCGTCAAGTTATAGCTATGACTTATGTAAAAGTCGTTATGGCGGGAAGATCTTCAAGATGTGATTATATCTATTGGTGTAATTTTTTTTTGGTTCTGATTATTCTAGAAAAATTTTTGATTTTCAAATCACGTTATTGATCATGTGACTAATGATGCGACATTTTTTTCATCATGGCTGTGAATTAGACCCCCTTGCATATGAGGAATAAATTGCAGCCATAGCCTTGATTAGTAGGCTGGCTATCAATGAGCTATAAATAGAACACTGATCGTCCGAATATCAAGAATGATTCTAATTTCATCATTAAGTTTCATATTACTTTAAAAACATGTTAGAAACTGAAGAAATTGTTCAAAAGATTGATAGAGAAGAAGAATCTATTCAACAATTAGAAACAATAAGGTCCAATACTCAATTGCTATACATCATTCAAGAATGTAATGTTAAGATCGCTGAACATTCTTTTCACATCAAGACCCTTAGACAAGAACTCAGTAAATCTCATAAATATTATTCGTCCGATCTTTATAATATGAAACCTCAGTTTTATACTGCTTTCCAATTATGTCAATTTGATTGTCCTGATTTGGATCAGAAAGTTCAGTATATGATGGAACAATTACAATTCAAGATTTATAGTGTTGAACAAAACAACCTAGCAAAGAAAGATTTCAATCAAGACAAAGAAACTAAAAAAGTCAATGAATCTAATTTGAAAGTTATGGAATTATACTTGAAACTTTTGGACAAATCATTAAATGAGTACAAGTCTAAAAATATATCAACTTTAACTCCAGTAAGAAGTGAAACTTTAGTTCAGAAGAAGCTAAGTATTGAAAGTGTGTTAAATTGGGAATTGACAATCACTACAATTGAAGCTAAGAATATTGTCCATGCTGAACCAGTTAAATTATTTCGAAAACGAGTTGAATCAATGATTGTGTTTTCCATAGATGGAGAAGAGAAAGCTAGATCTTCATTTTCAAAAAGTAAAATATGGAACGAATCTATAAGATTGAATGTCAAATTTGGGAGAGAATTGGAAATTCTAGTGTTGGATAAACCTGATCTGCAATATATTCCGGTAGCTGTTAATTGGATCTATTTATTTGAATTAAATGAAGAATTTGATAAATCTCAAAATACAGAAATATCTCTTACTGATCCACAAATACAATTCACTTTAAGATTAGAACCAATAGGAGAAATTACATTGAGATTGTCATTGAAGAAAAGAACAAATTATGGACAAGCACTTTGAAATTTATTTTTAGAAATTATATATAGTACACATATTTAAAATGCAAACAAAGCGACATTTCATAAAATTGGTGGCATATGTCTTCAAAGTATATATATAATCTTTCTGAAACGTATATTCGATATTTTGTTAATGCTCAGCAATTATACCAATGAAATCATATAACTGTTTCTTCTCAAGTTCATCATCTTCGCTCACTGTATCTTAAGCGCTAACGCACACTGTCAATAACATAATCGCAATCATTAACAACTTAATTATCAGAGCTTTATTAGCAGCACTTTTGTAACTTGGAGCTGGAACAAAAGGTATTCCTTTATAGCACAAAAATGTGTTGACTCCTTCAGGTAATGTAGCTACACTTGTAGTACCATTACTTGCAGTACAGGTGATGTTAGTGACAAAACTCATTTATTATTTGAATTTTATTATGTTGTAATTAATAGCTATTCAATTATGAGTTAAATATGATCAAATTAATTCTTGAATCCACATCCTTATTCAAATGGGAGTCATCTACTAGGATTTGCTCAATTGATATTCGTATGTTGATGAAAATCTCTTACAGGGTATCAATAATGAAAACTAAAATGCGACTTACTCAACAAATTATCTAGTGTTTATTTCTGTAGTTCATTTCCTATAGCTTGAACGTTATTTTGAGGTGATTGATGCCCCATGATGAGTGGCATATTTATAAAACAAATGACTATTATTCTGGCTGTGTATGACAAATTTAGGTTTTATACCCCTTTAAATAGGAAAATTCGTTACTATTCTGAGAATTAAACTATGCACGTTTTACAAATATACCCAGTATCAAGTTTAGAAAGAGGATATACGTTTCAATTAGAACCTATTTTGGTATTTATCAAACGTTTGATGGAGAATTTTATCCTCGCATTTGCGCGGCGGAATTCTTGTAGCGAAGTAAAAAAAGGCTTATGCCCAGAAAAAACTGGGGTTCTTTATTATTCAAATGGAATTATCCCTTTTTAAGTAGTCGTAGAGGTGCATTATCAGTAGAATATACTGCTCCTTAACTGTATTACGGAAAAGTTCTGTATGATAAGTACGTATTTGACCATCAATTGTTTTATCAGACGGCACGAATTTTCAGGCTCAAAAAAATACTTCTACGGCCATTTGATGTCATCTTCTAATTGAGCCGGCGTTTCTTTCTCATTCTGTAATTAACTTTTAAGCATTTAGATTCAATTAATCTGAAGAGTAGACAAACAGTGTGGTTCTAGCATCGAATATGGTCATAATCGTATAGATAAGAGATATTGTCTCAGATAGAATATAACTCACGTTTCAGTTCAAAATCGGAAATTGTAGTCTTAGATAAACCTGATATACAATACCTTCCTGAGATAGTTAATTGAATGCACATATTTAAATTAATTTTTTTTTTTCGAAATATACATTTATTAATATTCTATAAAATTAGAAATATAAATGAAGTGGAATAGAGAAACATAACGTAAAATATACAAAACGGAAACGACATTTTGAGACATTTTTGCAGAAGCTTGGCACGTGACCAAGTAACGTGACCAATTTTCAATAATCGGAATTTGTAAATTAGGCAACTTGTCCGAGCGGTTAAGGAGAAAGACTTGAAATCTTTTGGGCTTTGCCCGCGCAGGTTCGAGTCCTGCAGTTGTCGTTATTTTTTTTTATTTTTACAACTATTTTTGCAATTCAAACTTGTCAAAGTACATTACTTTATATTAATACATATACATACACTATTCTATAATTTTAACAGATTCTTGCCAATGATTAAATACTTCTTTAAAGAATCTAATACCAATTCCAACATCTTTATACCCCATTATACTTCTTATAGAGTGCATACTAAGAATTGGTAAACCAACATCAATGATTAATTTAGCTCCATTTACTCCTCTTTGAGCATCACTTAATACGGGACCGATGGTTCCACCTGATCTACTGTCATTTCTAATATGGAAATGTTGTAATTTGATATCCGGTATGTTTTTGGTTATAATATCTTGTAAAAATACATACGCTGATGAATCACTTAATACATGCATATTAGAATCAAATTTAATTGATGGTCCGACATTAGGTAAGGGGAAATTACCCTCAAGATATACATTTTTAAAATTAGGATTCATAGCGTGAGTCACATCAGTTGAAAGAAGGACTGAGTTGTGGGTCAATTGTAGTAATGCTTCTTGGCCATTAATTGATTCATCAGAATTTAAACTGGTTGAAGATGCAAGCGATTTAAATAAATCGATAAGGAAACCTCCTTTTGCTCCTGTTCTACTACCACTTCCGATTTCTTCATGATTAGATAAATAAATCCCGTTTAACCCATCATATTCTTCAAGTGAGTTACCTTCCTTAAAGAATGTTTGACTAAATTCAATCAAACCATAAACTGAATCAAATGAACATAATCGATCATCCAAACTAGATGAATATATAAATTCTTTATTCAACCCTCCTCTAATAGCAGGTTGAGAATCGACTAAATCCAAATCTAACAGAACTATGGAAGATAATGATGATTGAGATAATTGAGTAACGTATCTTAATAGACCAAGGGAATGTCTTTTATATAAACTGGATGATTTTTCTTCATCAGTTGGTTTCAAATCGGAATCATTCGAACTTTTATATGAGATAATAGGAACCATTTGAGTTTGAGTATTATACTCTTTCTCAGGAAGACCAAAATGAGGAGCTAATTGAGGAATAAACCCAATAGGATTTGGAAATGAATTGATTAATTTTCGACTAACTTTTTTAGTACTATGATCTTTTACAAGTACAGAACCAGCTAGTGATAAATCTCTATTTAACCAAAGATGATTTAATGCTCCTGAATAAGGGGCAACACCTAATAATTCATAAGAATCATCAATGTTTTCTTGATCTACCTTTTTCAGATTATGAGGATTAATCTTAACTGATAAGGCATCACAATGACTTGCTATGAAACAACTACCATTAATTGGTTTCCATTTCCCTCCAATAACAAAGGCAATCAAAGTTAAATCATCTTTCGATGTGAAATAAAATCCTGGTTTATGACTTAAATTGATTATCTCATTATCTTTAACATAGGTGAATCCATTATTCTCTAATACTGACTTGAAATGACTTACCACATGATAAGTAGTTGGATTTTGATTCATAAAAGTCATGAACTGTTCTGCATAAGCATCATAGTATGATGATAAATCTTGAGGAATTGATTCTTGTTTAACCTCTTGTTCAAAAGCTTCAGATTCTATTATAGGGGTTGATGATTTAGACATTTCAACTTTAGGCATAGAAAGGACATAACCAGAAGCATTAGCATCATCATCATCTTTATCAGTGGCATATTCTTCATCAGTACTTACATCATCTTCTTCATAATTTTCATCATCAGTAGTAGAAAGAATACCTTTATCGTTGGTAATCATTGTGAATATCTCACTATTCTGTTGGGATGCCATTGTATATATGTCTATAAGGTAATTGAAGTGATAAGTGGTAATGGGATTATTAATCTTCATAATCTATTTCAATTTATGTGGAGCCATTCCCTTAACGGCTAATCAGCCAGCTAAAGACGAAAGATAAAGTCACATGATAAGTCACACGACATAGATAACGTGACAAAAATACGCGTCTTTTTTTATTTTTTTATTTTTCTTATTTTAATTTTTTCAATTTGCAAACACTGAAAAGAAACAGCTTTGATATAGATATTAGTACTTGGATCAGTCAAAAGCGGTATCGATATCAATGAATGCCAACACACTCACGATCCACTGGCATGTGGAGAATATGCCTGTATATTCAGTGGCATTTCAGCCTCAAACAGGATCAAATCTAATCCCCAATCGATTGGTTACAGGAGGAGGTGATAATAATATCAGAATTTGGAAAATAGATCATAAACATATACCGACGAATCAAATTGACCAACAACCACAGCAATTATCATCATCACAGACGAAAGTTGAATATCTCAGTACTTTGAAAAAACATACTCAAGCCGTCAATGTGGTAAGATTTAATCATAAAGGACACTTATTGGCGACAGCTGGAGATGATGGAACTTTAATGATATGGAGACTTTCCGATAAAATAATAAAATCATTTGAAGATCAAGGAGAAGATGAGGATGAAGATGATGTCGAATCATGGGAAGTGGTATTACAATTAAGATCATCCATGTCTGAAATCAACGATATTTGTTGGTCTCCTAATGATGATTATATCATAGCTGGATCTATGGATAATACTGTACGAATTTATCATTTAGATTTTAATGGAGCCAATTCTAAAATTACAGGAAAATTATTCATATCATTTAATAATCATCAACATTATGTTCAAGGTGTTAGTTGGGATCCCTCCAATCAATTCATAGCCACTCAATCATCAGATCGAAGTATTATTATATATAAGATAATTCATGATACTAAAGATCAGGGGAAAATCAAATCAATTAAATATTTAACTAAATTAACTAAGTTTAAGAATAATTTCATGTATTATCCTGAAACTTTACAATCATTCTTTAGAAGATTAACTTTTTCACCAGAGGGAAGTTTATTAATCACTCCATGCGGTATTGATGAATCATCTTCCACCGTAAATAACACCAATAACATCACGTCAAACTCCAACACCAGTAACAATAAGACCAACGACGATAGCATTAAGAACTCAGTATATGTATATTCTCGAAAGAGTTTAACCACATCACCTATATTCAAAATAACAGGCTTAAATAAACCAGCTACAGTTATTTCATTCAATCCAAACCTATATCAATTACCAGAATCAAAATTAGAAACATCCTCATCACAACATAAATTAAATTTACCATATCAAATGATATTTGCAGTTGCCACCCAAGAATCTATCATAATTTATAATACGAGTGATTTCCAACCTTTAGGTTATGTATCCAATTTACATTATAGTTATATAACTGATATTGCATGGAGTCCCGAAGGAGATAAGATCATTGTATCTTCTACAGATGGATTTTGTTCAGTTATATCGTTTGATGAAGGTATATTTGGACTGATTTATGAGGCACCAATAGAGAAAGTTGAAGAGAAGGTGAATACAGAAGTAGTTGATCCTATAAGTGAACCTGTCAAGGAGGTGGTTCTTGATGTTGAAGAGGAGAAGAAAGTCGAAGAAGTGAGCATTGAACCAGTTAACGTGGTAGTGCCTATTGAAGTGGACGAAGTTAAGAGGGATGAAGATAATGATATAATAATGATTGATGATGATGCAGGTGAACAACAATCAAACAAGGAAAATATCAATCAAGTTCCTGAACCAATCGTTTCAAAAACACCAACTAAAACCATTGATCAATTCTTTACTAAAGTAAGTGATACTCCTTCTAAAAAGGATAAATCAAAAAAAGAGTGGTACCAACCTTAATAACGTCATGAAATGAAAAAAAACACTATATATATATGTATATATCAACCTTTAATCATAATCATAATATAATAGTTATACATTAACTTCTATTAAACTCTGTTCCTATATACATCAACTATTTTGGTAAACTACTCTAATTTTAGATTTCTTTCTTTACACTTTCTTGATATCTAGATCTGGCTTCTAAAACCATCTTAACTTTTCTTTCCTGTAAGGTTAAATCTGATTTATTTGAGAATGATGATGTTGAAGCACTGTCAGGATCAATATTATATTTTTCTAATAAGCTAATGGATGATTTCTTAACATTGTTAGGTTTCTTTTGAGTTGTTGATGCATTCCCAGTTGATACATTATTTGATGTAGTGGTAGCACTATCATTAGCAACAGGGCTAGTAGTGGTGGCTGTATTTGCACTGGATGAAGGAGGTAATGGTAATCCACCTAATTCCATATATCTATCTATAGTAAGTTCGACAGATCCAGTTTGATTTAAATCCATAATGATTTGATCACGAGTCAAAGTAGGAGCAATAGCTTGTACAACTTCAATCATACTATCAGTGACTTGTCTTCTACGTCTTATTGGTTCTTGTTCTTGATGTTGTTGATATTGATTTACTGATCTTTCTAATTCATGAGAATTGGGTATAGGGGTGATTAACCATCTTAAAAATACAAATGCCACTGCTAAAGTTGCAATAAAGATGATTGTTGATGAGTCCATTATGGTATATTCTATCTATCTAAGGTATGGAAGAAGGACTAGCTGATTGATGGATTAGTTGATGAATGCTAAAAGTTTCAGATATTTTGATCTCACAGGATAGAACCTTCTAGCCTTTTTTGGTCGTTTCGATTTTTTTTTTGGTGAGCGCTCGGGGTTTTATTTTTGTGGTAACTAGCATAACGAAATAGAATACGATAGAAGCAAACGTTAGATTTAATGGTACAGTATATACTATGTAGATATGGTATGGTTTATATAGGAAGAAAATGACTAATGAATGTAATACAGTTGAAGACTTCAACAATATTGATGATTATAACCGGGAAAAGACCAACAACATAAGAATGTAAAAGAAATGAAATTTGAACCATATGGAAATGACAAAGGGGAGAAAGGGGAAACTGAAGAATGGAAATGATAAGAAAAAGTGATCTCATTTGAATGTCAATTTAAATTCATCATCTTGATGTTTAACTTTATATAAGAAATTCGTTATAATTTCATTTTCTTTAGTTGGTAAATTCAAAAAATGATTTTTGACTTGATTAGCAAGATCAATCTTTGTTATTTTATTAGCAGGAGTTGACGATTTCTTTCCCACGCCTCCATTACTACTATTTCTCTTTGTGAATGTCTTTTTACCAATTTCACTATTTAAAATATCATTATTAACACTAGTTGGATTTGGTAAATTCAATCCATAACGTTTATTATATTTGATTAAAACTTCATCACTATATTTATCGAAATCCAAAGGTAGGACCTTAGGTTTATCATTTGGTCCATTGGAATGTATATGTTTTGTAAGATATTGTTGCTGTTTTTGATAATTGGCTTGATTTTTAACTTTTTGAGATGTCTTGGTTGTAGTAGTGGTTGATGATGATGGATGTTTAGAAGATTCCGATTCGGAATTCGACTCTTTAGGATTCCTGGCCATACTATAGAATGTATAATCTTCTTCAAGATTTAATGTGTAATGAAATGATAATGAATAATTATAACTTTATATATAAATTAGACAAATTCAATTTTAGTTTATTGATAATTTAGTTCAATTTGGTTTTACGCCAATGGGTCCCTAAACCAGAAGAAAGAAAACATCCAAACATCAGTCACATGCCTAATCACATGACAAACCTTTTCTCTGTTCCCAATTAGGAAATGGTCTTAAGCTTTACTCAACGATAATGGAATATATAATGTAATGGAAAACAAACAGTCTAGAGTTTAAGGGTAATTAACATTGACTTGTTTGGTTGATATGCTTCTTTCCTAATTTTTAAACTGTGAACACTTGTCGGATATAGTATCCTGGCTATTGTGACTTTGAGACCCAAACCCTAATTATCTCTACTGAATCTTATTATACCTAGTATCTTCTATTAATTTCACTTCTCTTATGCATAATTTGTTAAATTCTTTAATGTTTACATTTACCATTATTAGATTTATAGATTTTAAATTTTGTTTTATGTATGTAAAATTTAATCCTCAAATTTAGATTAACAGTTTTCGCAGACATATTCATATAATATATTGTGTTGTGTATTGAAGATAACTAAAAAGCATCGATTTTAGAAGTGAAATATCGAAAGATATATAAGATTACAAATATCTGATAAAAATTCACAAATAGAAAGAAAGAAATAAAGAAAGAGGGAAATTCAAAGTTGAGTTAACATTATCATAATGTTAACCAAAAGTAAGAGAATTGATATCGAAAGTTTACTTGACTTTCCTTCATATACCGTGGTATTAGAAGGTGTCAAAGTTGAAGTAGGAGTGGAATCAACGAATGATGATGACGTCGTATCACCTTGTATTGAAATAGCTGGAGTGAGAGTTGATGAGTCATCATCGCTAATTGGGACAGAAGTTGCTTGAATTACTTCGACATTTGCAGTGGTTGGATTGATTTGACCAGTTGTAGTTGGGCTGACTTCACTAGTAGTATCGGTTGGATTCAATTTTGGATTTGAAATACTTGTTGTAGTTGGATTAAAGCTATCATTTGCAGTATTAACAGAAGTATCTTCTCCATTTTCATTACCAGTTTTCGTAACAGTAATAGGTGTAGAAGTATCTAAAGAAGCCAAATCAGTAGTAGTGGCTTTTAATAAACTAGTTGAACCTCCAGTAGTTGTTGATTCATCTTCATATGGACAAGTGGTAGTAGTTATCACCGATATCAATGTTTCCGTTGTAGTTATTGGAGCTGTAGCACCGATAGGTTGAGTTACGATTGTTACTACCGTAGAAAGAGTTGAAGTGATGGTTATTATATCTGAATTGGTAGTCGTGGTAATGGTAGACAGAATCAATGTGGTTGGAGTAGTAATGGTTGTATAAATCGTTGAATTTACCCATGGACCTCTACTTGAAGAAAGTATAACTCCTGTTGATGAGTCGGAAGATATCGATAAGTTGATTATCGATGCTGATGAATAACTGCCACTGTTTGAACTTGTCGATGAGACAGAATCAGAAGAATTTGATTCCGAAGATGTTTCAAGACTTGAATAGGTACTGCTGAGTAAACTTGAAGAATAAGTAGTAGATGATGAGGTGATAGAATCTGAGTTATGTTCAGAAGTAGAGCTTGGAACGGAATTGGAGCTGAAAGAAACCATTTCAGAGTTCGAGCTTAAACTTGAACTTAAATTTGAACTTAAACTAGAACTAGAACTCAAACTAGAATTTAAACTTGAACTTAAAGTTGAACTTGAACTTGAACTTGATTCACTAACACTAGCAGAAGTACTTGATACACTACTAGACTCAGAAGTGGAGGAAGCAGAGCTATTTTCAACGGAACTAGAACTCAATGAAGAATCTGAACTTGAAATAGCAGACGAACTTGAACTTGAACTATCCAAAGTGGAACTAGATATATATGAACTAGATGTATCATTAGAAGGTGGCACATATGCAGCACAAGTAAAGGAGTTCGTATAGCTTGCACTAAAATCAGTACTATCAGGAACCGCCAAAAGATCCATAAAAGCTCTATAACCTAGTGGAAGATTTTCATAAGAAATAAGAATTTCACTTGATGAACAAGATACTAATGAAACAGAAGGAATAACTTCATCAGATTTAGGGAAGTACCATGCATTGAGATTGTTCGTCATCAAAGCTTCATAAGATGAACAATCTAATGATCCATCCGTCACTTGTATACCCAAATCACCAGACACAGATAGGTTAGTTCCACAACTTCCTCCTAACACATATATGGAATCTTCATTATCCCAAGGCATAGCTCTTATTGCATAAACTATATCATCAGGATCTTCAGGAGAAGAAGCACCAGCGGCAAAATCAACATCTAACAGGATGTCAAAATCACCATCATCAAAAGTAATAACTTGAGGACCTGGTTGAATTGCATTAGCGGCAGCAAGATCTGAAGCAGATCCAGAACCTCCCACATTAAATACAATAGGAACAATAAGTTCACCATCAATTGGCGTACCAGCTGGTAATGTATTTATAGAATCTAAAATCGTACATTGGATTGATGACGAATTACCTGTCAAACCAGCTGAAATTAATTCACAGGAAGCATACGAAATCCCATCTGATGAAAGATAGATAGTTGGATTAGTAGTAGCACGTTTCATCATTCTTTTAGTTGTTGTAGTACTATCACTATCACTATCACTATCAAATCCAAAGACATCGGGCATATTTAATGCAAAGGCATCACCTGGTTGTGCTGTGGCATTGGAAAGCGTCCATCCTATAGCAGCATTCCATCCGGCACTTTCTGGTAAAGGAACACTATCAGTACCTTCTGCAACGAATGCAACTGTACCCGTGCTCTGAATGACATCACTGGCTGGGATAGTTGGTTGTGGAGTGGTTGAAGTGATGGAAGTAAAAGTTTCACTACTAATAATTGAGATAGATGAGTAACCGATAGTAATTTCAATACTAGATGATAATGATGATTCCAACGCAGAACTGGTTTCAGTAGTTGAATTAGATTCCGTAGATGATTCCGTAGATGAACTGGATTCAGTAATGCTACTAGATTCGGTATATTCAGCAGATTCAGTAGATTCATTAGATGGAGTAGATGAACTAGATCCGGCGGGTGAGCTGGATACACTGACACTACTAGATTCAGCAGATTTGCTAGATTCAGTAAATTCACTGGATTCTGTATATGAACTAGACTCAGAAATTGAACTGGACTCAGTAGATGAAGTAGATGAAGTAGGTGTACTGGATTCAGAAAATGAAATGGATTCACCAATACTACTAGCCACAGATGAACTCGATTCATTGACAGTACTAGAAGATTCACTAACTATAGTTGATGAAGATGCTGCATTACTAGGTTGAATAATAGAGCTAGTGGAAGATGAAACTAGTTTTGTAGATGACTCAATATTAGAATATGATTCCGAAGAAGACAATACAGAAGTCAGCGGTACAACCTTAGTAGACGACATATCACTGGAAACCGTAGAAGATTCGGATGATATCAATGATGAAATTATAGATGAACTTAACAATGAACTAGATGAGACAAGTTTAGGTGTTGAACTGCCAGACAATAATGTTGAGCTTGATAACGGAGAACCAGAAGACAACGAACTTATCACTATTGAAGTGCTAGATAACAAAGGTTGTGTGCTACTGATAACAGAATTAGAAGTAGAAGACACCTGAGATTGATAAACGCTACTAGTAACCAAACTTGAATAGCTTGATGCATCTGAATAAGAACTAGATGTACTCACAATAGTTGATATACTGGCTTTCGAAACACTCAGTGTATATTCAGATGATAATACACTGCTGAAACCTGATGAATAGCCTGTAAATGAGGAAGAGCTATAATACGAAACACTTGAACCATAGCTCGAAATAGAAGCGTATGAGCTACTATAAATCGTTGACTCTGCCAATACGGACGAAGAAAAGGAAGAACTAACATTGGATGAGTAACTAGTTGCTACACCACTACTTGTCATGCCAACATTTGAAAAAGAACTGACAACAGAACTATACTCAGATGAAATCGTCGAACCACTCACCGAAACTGACACACTAGACATCGGATAATATGATGTGCTGGTAATCACCGCGTCATCATCACCAATTGAGAGAACCACAACAGCAGAATCAACAGCAGCAAATCCATTACTATCAGTAGTACTAAAGGTGGTAGTGTATGTAGTAGCTGGATCAGATGAAGTAGGATAGAATGAGGTTGAAGTTATAACAGCATCATCAGTACCAATGGAAAGTACCACAACAGCAGAATCAACAGCAGCAAATCCATTACTATCAGTAGTACTGAAGGTGGTAGTGTATGTAGTAGCTGGATCAGATGAAGTAGGATAGAATGATGTGCTGGTAATCACCGCGTCATCATCACCAATTGAGAGAACCACAACAGCAGAATCAACAGCAGCAAATCCATTACTATCAGTAGTACTGAAGGTGGTAGTGTATGTAGTAGCTGGATCAGACGAAGTAGGATAGAATGAGGTTGAAGTTATAACAGCATCATCAGTACCAATGGAAAGTACCACAACAGCAGAATCAACAGCAGCAAATCCATTACTATCAGTAGTACTAAAGGTGGTAGTGTATGTAGTAGCTGGATCAGACGAAGTAGGATAGAATGATGTGCTGGTAATCACCGCGTCATCATCACCAATTGAGAGAACCACAACAGCAGAATCAACAGCAGCAAATCCATTACTATCAGTAGTACTGAAGGTGGTAGTGTATGTAGTAGCTGGGTCAGACGAAGTAGGATAGAATGAGGTTGAAGTTATAACAGCATCATCAGTACCAATGGAAAGTACCACAACAGCAGAATCAACAGCAGCAAATCCATTACTATCAGTAGTACTGAAGGTGGTAGTGTATGTAGTAGCTGGATCAGACGAAGTAGGATAGAATGAGGTTGAAGTTATAACAGCATCATCAGTACCAATGGAAAGTACCACAACAGCAGAATCAACAGCAGCAAATCCATTACTATCAGTAGTACTGAAGGTGGTAGTGTATGTAGTAGCTGGGTCAGACGAAGTAGGATAGAATGATGTGCTGGTAATCACCGCGTCATCATCACCAATTGAGAGAACCACAACAGCAGAATCAACAGCAGCAAATCCATTACTATCAGTAGTACTGAAGGTGGTAGTGTATGTAGTAGCTGGATCAGACGAAGTAGGATAGAATGAGGTTGAAGTTATAACAGCATCATCAGTACCAATGGAAAGTACCACAACAGCAGAATCAACAGCAGCAAATCCATTACTATCAGTAGTACTAAAGGTGGTAGTGTATGTAGTAGCTGGATCAGACGAAGTAGGATAGAATGATGTGCTGGTAATCACCGCGTCATCATCACCAATTGAGAGAACCACAACAGCAGAATCAACAGCAGCAAATCCATTACTATCAGTAGTACTGAAGGTGGTAGTGTATGTAGTAGCTGGGTCAGACGAAGTAGGATAGAATGAGGTTGAAGTTATAACAGCATCATCAGTACCAATGGAAAGTACCACAACAGCAGAATCAACAGCAGCAAATCCATTACTATCAGTAGTACTGAAGGTGGTAGTGTATGTAGTAGCTGGATCAGACGAAGTAGGATAGAATGAGGTTGAAGTTATAACAGCATCATCAGTACCAATGGAAAGTACCACAACAGCAGAATCAACAGCAGCAAATCCATTACTATCAGTAGTACTAAAGGTGGTAGTGTATGTAGTAGCTGGATCAGATGAAGTAGGATAGAATGATGTGCTGGTAATCACCGCGTCATCATCACCAATTGAGAGAACCACAACAGCAGAATCAACAGCAGCAAATCCATTACTATCAGTAGTACTGAAGGTGGTAGTGTATGTAGTAGCTGGATCAGTTGAGGTAGCGAATAAGGTAGAAGTACTATTAGAAACTAGATCATCTTCCCCTATTGTTAAGACAACAATTGCAGAATCAGTAGCAATGAAACCGTTTCCGTCAGTTGTAATATAAGTAGTAGTGTAAGTAGTAATAGGGCCAGTGGATACTGGGAATACAGATTCACTGGTTATGGTAGTGGCTGTGTCTTCGCTTACAACCACAAGTTCTGAATATGTTACTGTTTGTCCATTTGTATCTATTGTTTCAAAAGTACTTATGTAGGAATATAAAGTTGTCGGTAATTCTTCTACTATTATCCCAGTTTGTCCTATAGAAGGTGTTACTAAAGTTATTGTAGATGTATAGTCATTAGACCAAGTTGAATATTCTGTGGATGTTGGTATAGGGACATACTCGTAGATAGTAGCGGTTTCTCCTATATTAGCACTATGGGTTGATATAATGCTGGTGTCATTTTCTGTCCATGTGGTTTCTAAAGTGACTGTTGGGATTGGTACATATTCTTCTAAGTAAGTGGTATCTCCATTTGTAGAATACAGTGATGTTGTGAAATTTGAAGACCAAGTATCAATTTGAGTTGTTTCTTCAGCTCGAATTAAATTAGCAAAGGCTAATAAACACAATAGCTTAATAACAAAGCTCGCCATTGAAACGGGTTCAATTACAGAAGTATAATATTGAAATTCTGCGATAAATTAATTAATAAGAAACTTCTGTAGTAAATGAGTTTTATAGTAAATGAGTTTGAATATATTCTTTGACTGTCGTCATTTGCCTTTGATCTTGAATCAATTTGAAGTAAATGAACTCAAAGTTATACTTGATAGTGATATTTAAGGGAAATAAAGTATCAAATTATCTATCAACTATATTTTGAATAGATTTGGTAATGGAGGAAAGAAAATAATATGAAACTTAAAACAGAGTTTGTAAATCCTTCTGGTAAACCTAAATTCTTTAAGGGAAAGTATTGTGCTATAACAAGCCCAGTCTAGATAGAACAAAAACCTGTATTGTATAACAAATATAGTGAAAATATGTCTAGCTACTAGTTCGTTGCAAAAGTATCCGACATATAAAGGTAAAATATTTTTTATGGCTGTTAAAAAATAATTTTATTAAAAAATAAAATTAAAACGTCAATTTTTGAAAAAGCCCAATTAGGAAAGAAAACTCCTTTTATATTTTAACGCTACATCAAATTACTCCTCCAAATACTTTAATAAATTGTAAGAAATTACTTATTTAAGATTTATGAATACCTGAATTGGACAAGTTTTGCTACTGGCTTGAACTTTGAGGGAGTTCCTGTTATTATATCTGAATATTAAATCTATTTTATAATCCGGGATCTAAATATAGTTGCCGATACACCGGCACTTCCAATTTACAATGTCTGTGGATTGTCATAGTCGTATTACTGTAGTATACTTCATTCAACAATGATATATAACTATGAATAACATAATATAATATAATACGGATCATAAATTAAAGAACATTGAACTTTCTCAACAGATTTTCTTTTTGATTGACAGTAACTGTTAATTGGACTAAACCTTGCAAACAATGGAACTCAAAATTAGGCCACAATGTAACATGCAAGTATAGATGATGGTGTATGCACCATACATTAACTATAAGTTTATACATCTGGTAATTATGCCTGTTTACAACTAAAAATTTTGATACACGGTTCAAAAAATCCTTTATTTTTTTGATTTTTATTTTTTATTTTGTACCAGCGTTGTTTTTATTTGCCGATAGAGTGAAAACAATAAGTATGCCTTAAAAAATAAAATACGTCCATTAGTCAGGTTGGCTTAAAATGTATAAAATATGTCAGGTATAAGAGAGATTCCTACCAAAGCTAATATCATCTAACTATTAGTTTAAATATAAGAAAATATCCCACCGTTCAATTAAATTTTTAAGGTAAACCGCTGCATAATTGTATACATTAATGGCTAATATTCATGTTATGTTATGATATTTTATATAACCGTTTAATAGAGAGCATATAGTTTATATACCGACAGCTAGCATGGAGTCGAAATACCTTAACTAACCTTTAAAGACGTATAATTGATTAAATTTACCAGATATATAGATATTGTTTGAAATACGAAATTTATGCACCCATTGTTAAACCAATTCCTATTGTTTGGTCAATCACACTATATCATTAATATTTATACGAATTTCTCTAACAAAAACCTTTAATTTGTCGTGTTGAATGTACGTTTATGCACCTCCAAAAAAGATCTCTAATTTTTGACATTTATATAATTTTCAGATCTTTGTTTACATTTTAACTCTTTTTTCATATTCTATTACCCATTTGAACACTTGCTATAGCTTGTCATGTCGTCATTTTTTAAACCTGTTTTATTTTATTTATAAGTGTATTCCATTGTTGATGTACAAGTGCAAGCTGTGGGGATTACTGTCATAGAACAAATATAGAATTATTCCAATTATCCTAACCTTTAGGGTCACTATACATGATGGTTTTGAGCATGAGAACTCCCCATACCTTTTCGAACGTCATTAAGCATTATGTCTGAAAGTAATGTTCAGTAACTCAGATCTGTGAGATTGAAAAATTGGATAATAGTGGTACACTAGAGAAATTGTTGGGTTATAATTTCACTTGGTTACCCCTCCTCTATTATATAGCTCTGTTTAATATATTTATGTGATTACCGTATCGCAAATACGTTACTTTGAATATCAGTTTTCTCCACCAATTCATTCACATGATTCATATCACTAAGAGAACTTAAATTTGATTTTTTTTAAGTAGCATTTATTACGTATCTAAAAAGTAGATTTAGTATCTAAAGACAAGAAGTAATATGGGTTTTTTTTTTTTCTAATGAGTAGCATTTATTATGTATCTAAAAAGTAGACTTAGTATCTAAAGAAAAGATTTGTAAGAAATGATTTGCAGACATAGGGTAAAACTCCTGCAGGAGTTATTAGGAGACAGCTAAGCATAGTCTTAGCGGTTGGGTTCGTTAATATTAAGTTACACTTTTTTTTTATTGTAAGAAATATCTCTTGAATGATTGCGAAATAATTTCTATAAATGTAGGCAGTAATTTATCAGATATATTCACACTTGCTCAAAAGATCACCTCTCATACACATATATCAGAACAACCCTCACAGAAAGGCAATTTAGGGATAAGATACGGCATAGGGCTAATCTCTTGACACTTTTTAAGATGCTATCCAACTACTTCTATTAGGTCTATAATAAACTTAGAAAACATACTGATTTTAGCGCCATCAAAATTCTTTTCTTTAGGATTCCTGGGCATATTATGGTAAATAAAGTCTTCAAGATTTAAAGTTTAATGAAAGTATAATGAATAATTATAAAATGTAGGTCGACGGGTAATTGATAATTGCTTCACATAAATAAAAGAGAGGAAGAAATAAAACATCCAAACATCAATCACATGCCGAGTCACCGGATTATCTTTTTGTTGTTTATTCCCAATTAGGAAATAGTCCTGTCAAAAAAAAAACTCTGACGACGGTGGAATAAACAATCAAACAGTCTAGAGCTCAAGGATATTTTATGTAATGGTTTGTTTGGTTATTCGTGTTTCTCAATTGTAAAAGTATAAACACTTGTTGGATACAATATACTGATTATTGTGGCTGTGAAATACAAAACCCTGAATGTTAGAATTAAGCTTTTTTTAAGATTTAACTATGGATTGAGAATGTATTTTGGCACAATTTTCATTTATGTTATATTAACATTCTTCTAATTTTTCCAGGGTTAATAGTTTTGAGTTCAAGAATAACTCTATCTCTTGAAAAGTTTAACTGACGATAATCTAAATTTTCAAAACAATGAATTAATATAGTTGCAAAACTAATTCCAAGAGGAAGTATGAGGCGAGCAGTTCACCGTAAGTTCACTTCAGCATCACATCCCATCCGGTGACTCGTTGATGGGGTGGACGATAGAGAGTAGGTTGCGCTTTGAATGTGGTCGATTGCCTTACATTTTGCAATGGTAAAATTCTCGTCAATTCCGTCATTCTAGTTAAACAAATTTATAATTTAAAAAGCTTAAACCATCCAATTTATTTGAGAATGTGTAGAATTTTACCACATCATTACAACCCTACAACATTAAAATGGAGAATTAACGAACTACGTCTATGATTGGATTAATAGAATATCATATGCAAAATTCGGGTTTGTAATAACGTTGGGAGATAGACCACATAAAGACCTTTTTTGATTAATTTTTCAAAGCGCTATTGTTTATGCTTAATTATTCCGAATTAGGATTAAGTTGAAAACTCGTACAAATGTCCACTTTACACATCACATATTACACATTTCATTGCCCATAACCAAACAACGAAATTATCTGTAAGGTAATTGACAACTGGAATATACTCATACATATATATGTATTGTTTACTATGTAATTAGTCTGATCTCTTTTGTTCTTATAAAACTGGGATTTTATTGTTTTATTTAATGTAGGGTAAGACTAACAATTCAACGGTTTTCGCCTGTTCAACCTCGACATAGATAGAACAAGTAATAAAATGTTGATCTTATTTAAGAGGGGTCATTGTATAGTGAAAATTTTTTCTCTTTATATTTTGAAAAAGGAGTCGTTGGACGATCCTTCAAAAATAAAAGAGATAAGTTAATTACTTAGCTAACCTTATCAAGATAATAAAATAGAAATATTTTACAACCACCCCCCTTAAATAGTGCCGTTCCATAAAGTTATGATCCATAGTTAAGCAGATAGGTTAGCTTAGCTAGGGTTAGATTATATCAGGCGGTTATCGAAATCATTATCTTTTTTAAGACGCGTCGCAAAAATATTAGTGTGGGAATAATTTAGCCTCCTTAAGAAATGCATAATTGAACAATTAAAGGTATATTACATACATACTTAAATATGACAGTCTGCCTCGTACATATTTACGCCGATCAACCCAACGTATTATACCACAATACACTGTACTACACCCTACAACGGCCTACTAACTACCCTAATTGAAGCTGAAAAGTATTGCTGAATTTAATTGAGATAGTGAAAAATTGGCAGTATTTACGGGCGTCACAACCACAAATCAAAAAAATAATTTATTGATACAGATTTTGTGACAGATCTTGATTTTCCAGTCATAAAGTAGGAAAAAAATTTTCATCCGTCCTTTGTCATGTCATTGTAAATTTTTAAGCTTTTTTAAAAATGACAATGGTTTGGCTCTTGCTCAAACGAGGTTAGTCTAAAAACCTATGTTTTGAAACGAAACGAAATCGAATGACGGATGCTTTAGAATGTCTTTAATTTCGAGGAGAAAATTTACATACCTTGAATTTGCGCTATTATTTAAATTCTCAGTATAAACTTTAATTTGACGAGTCATAATTATATCAACAAGTTGTTTCAACATTCTTCAGTGGGTAATAAAAAATAATCAAATATTAAAATCAGTTCAGATCAATTTACTACTTATAAAATATTAGAAAAGGAGGTGTAATAGATAGGTAGCTAGGTGATAACATTAATTAATTGCCTAACCGCTTAAAAAATTAGATAACCTTCTCACTAATTCTCACTAAAAATTTACTGAGAAAATTTTTTTTCCCCTTTTCAAAGTTTTTGTGTAAATTTTTGGTTTGATTTAATTATGTACATGCAGCTTTTTTGACGAATGCAAAAATAACAAATTAGGAAAAACAATGATACGAACTATTGACCTGCCTTTACCACTCAATCAAGATTGGTTTGGACTGCCATTTGAGTCTATTGTCTATCCCACACTGTTTTATTGTCTATTTTTTTAGGTTAATTGTTTTATTATTTAAAAATATTTTTATTATTATTGTGGTTTAAATATCAACAGGTATATATATATAAATGATTGGAACGGCCCCAATATTTGTTGTGATTTTTATCTTGTTCGTCTTTTTTAATATTTCTTTATTTTGTTTGGATTTTCATCTCAAGTAAAATCATAGGGCTGGTACCATTTCTATTGTTATAAAGTACTTGATCATTAACTATCCGCCTTAAAATCAAAAGTAATAGATATATTCATCTACATATACATATCAAAGAATGTCTGCCTTTTTATTATTAGCAAATCATTCTAATACTCAATATCAATTAGAACAATTGAAAAAAGAACAACGAAGAAAGAAGCGTCATTCCTCAAGCTCAAGTTCAAGACGAAGTCATAAATCAAATTCATCTAGTGCATCAACCATATCATCAAGTACATCTACATCCTCATCATCGTCTTCATCAAAGGAGAATAGCAAAAGTGAAATTCGAAGTCAAAGATCAAATTCTGTTACCACTATAACTTCATCAAATGTTTCTCCCAAGACTAATAAATTAGTATTTGATATAAATACTTCATCTTATATACCTGCCAAGTCTGTATTAAGTGAGATTAATGAAAATGTTAGTCAAACCAATACCACAAAAATTAATAATAATGTCAAGATAAATATTAATGAAATCCCCACCTATATTGAAACGTCAAGTAAATATAATCATTTAAATCATAAATTAAATCAATTTAAATATATTAATGAAGATCATGAAGACCATGAACGATTATTCACCCTTAAGAATATTCAATTATTAAGATATTCATATTTTGAACAATTTATAGTTGATCATACTTACATTAAGAATAATGAACATAAATGTGAATACATGCATATAATCAATAATGATGACGAAGAAGAAGAGGAAGAGGAGATAGTGGAACAGCAAGAATTACTGTTTCAAGACGATGTATCATATAGTTTAAGTAATTTGGTGATTCATGAATATGAAGAAGATTTATTTAATAGTGATGAAAATCGTAAACAGAAATATTATAATCATAAACCATTACCATCATCACCTGCTAAAAGAAGAGAAGCCCATGAAGAGATTATAAATGTTAGTAAGATATTTAAATCTAATCAATTTTGGAATTCAGTTTATCAAGATATTAAATTTGAAAATTATGAAATGTATCAAAATTTACCATTATTAAATAAATTACAAAGTTATATGATTGATTATGTTGAATATTTCTTTTTAAATTTAAATCAATTTGATCAAACTAATAATGGAAGGGATACTTTATTTTATTTTAATGATTTAAATTATCAATATTTTAATTATATGAATGAAGAAATTTATCATGATATGTTTAAGGGAGATATTAATCAATTAACTCAATTAATCATTATAATGGTTGATAATTTAAAGTTAAAGATTTCAAATTCAAGGAGATTAGATAAATTATATAATCTTTGGCAAATCTTTTTAAATTATAGTTTATTAGAATTAACGATAAATCCAAGCGATAAAATTAGAAGTCAAAATCAACAATCATCATCTCAAGTTAAACATCAAAGTGTGATATCGAATAATTCTTCAATCATTTCAAAAACAAGTAAAACTTCTTCAGTTAGTGATATAAGTGAAGAAGTCATAGTTGATGAAATGATAGTTAATAATAGTAAAAAAAAGTCTTCAACTACTGGTAGTAAGAAGATTTCTTTATTTAGTAAGTTTAGTCATTAAGAAAAAGTTATATATAGTAAATAAACAAACATATGTATAGCAACAGATACAATTAATAATTGTAAACAAGAAAAGTATTAATACTTCTAATAATAAATAATTAATTAAATAAATGGTTATATTAGTTTTGTGCTAACTGTACTATTGCTTGGTTATACGCAAAGTCAAGTTATACGAGGTATGGCTCGGTTAGAGTCTGTGAGAGGGATCTGCAGATATCTGTATCATGCTGTTTTTGTTTATAATTCATAAGAGATAAGCTTTCAATTTGAATTGCATCGAGGATGATGGTAATCTATTGCATAGGGATGTGATATAAATCCTTGTTAGTATATAACAATGGATTAGGGGGTGAGATGGGATGGCATAAGCTGAGGATGAAATTTTTAGTTTTTTCAGTGGGAGAGTGAGGAGAGGGGATGAGATTTGAATGTGGTGATACTGTCTCTTTGTCTGAGTTTTACTTTACAACTACTACATTCTATCAGTATTAATAGCTATGTACATTATGAAGACCATCTAAACTCATCGTAATACTATAAAGCTTTTCTAACATTCAAACTGTTCCTGATTCTGTTCGATTCTGTTCCTGACTGTCGTAGTTATATTCCTTAGTATTATGACATCATTTTATTCAATTACAGTTCCTAAATCAGCCAGCATCACACAAAAAAAATGTAAACACAAATCACAAAAAAAAGAAATTTAAATTTTTCACACACATTTCTTTCTCAGTAAATTTCTTAAATTAGCAGCAGCAGCGCAACTAGAGTTAGCAGAGGGAAGCAGCAGCACTAAGCAGCGGAATTTTTTACGGTGACTTGTATCTCTAGGGAGAAAAATTGTCTAATGGTTTGTATTTAATTACTGTTACCTTCCATTGTTTATTATTATTATTATTATTTATTTATTTATTTACTATTTGTTTATTTTTACTTGGTGGAGTGGCACTGTAGCACTAATTAGTTACCTCTATGAATGACTGTAAAGTTCTTTGTTACTATGTTACTTTTTACTTTTTACTTTATGACCTGTTCCCCCATGAAAATTTTTTCTTTCTTTCTAATATTATTATCATTTATTCTATACTTTTTATAACTTCTTCGATAACTTGATATAAATACTATACCACATCCCCTTTAATCAAAAATTTCATATTCATATCTATAACTTTATTTTATTAGTTAATATTTCAATAGCCGCAGCTATACTCTACCACATATTTTTAGTGCGGAAAGTTTCATCCTTAGACGCTTGATTCATCCCAAGTAGGCAAATTTCACTTTCACTTTTAGAAGTCTTGTGTGGATTACTACTTTACAACCAATTTAATTCCCCAACTTTAACATCCAACTGCACCAGCATTTTCCTCGAAAGGATACCGTATCAATAATATATATAATAAAATTTATATTATATATATATATTCCTCGCATAATCTTTTAACAAAAGGGTCTATAATTTTTCGCTTCCCTCCACACCAATCACCTTCTTTGCATACATATCATTTATTCTATAGATCATCATCATCATCATAATCTTTTAACACAACCAGAATGATTCCAACTCCAGATAGAGATCGTAATTTGATCCATGAACATGCCTTTTATGATGGTGAAGAAGAAAAAAGTAGTTTTTTAAACTTGAATTATAAATTTGATAAATTACTTAAACCTTCAGCAACTACTAAATCTTCCCCATCTTCCAATCCTGATCCTCATAGTTTGAATAAATTATTACCTCAGCTATCCATTTCACAGTTTCTTATTATTCTTATCTTGATTTCTGTTATTGTATATCAGTTAGGATATTATTTAAATCATTATCTTCGTCACCGTCGTATTCATAAATTACATCATTCTCATTCAAGTCATAGCCGTAGTAACAGTGGGCAAAAGTTAGAGAAACCGGAAGATTTAGTATAGGATATATACCTTTTTGTAATTCATCCACCTTGCATTTTGATTGACAAATTCACCCATTTGCATTATTCATTCGTTAATCTCATTTTATTTATTTATTCATTCACGTTGTTTATTTCATTCGTTACACCTTTTTAATTTTAATTTCATCTTTGCATTCTTCCTGGTATCTCTCATAAACTGTATAGAAAATACATATCGTTTTACATTTATCCACAAATGTTGTAGTTTCATTATTCATGACCTAATTTATCTGTGATTTTTAACATTTCAATATCCCAAATATTCCAATCATACCAAATTATAGGAGGGAAAATTGTAAATAAATGCCATAACGAATGACCATCAATTAATCTATGCCATGGAGTGAATTCAAATATTTCAAATAACATCCCTAAGATCATCCAACCATTTAAAAATACAGGTAATAATGGGATTAATCTAACTGACATATTTATCCTTTTAATGATTTTAGTTTCAAACGGTAATAATTGGATTGAATTGTTATAGATGATATAACGTCTTTTGAATTGTCTATAATTTGAAAAAGAATGGAATACCCAAAGTAAAATAGTGAAGATCCCAATCACTAAATTGAAATTTGTATTATAATCATAATCCCAATGTAAGTATAATCTCAAACAATGAATAATGTAAATAGTCAACATCATCAATTGCCAGATTCTTAATGCCACTGGACGTTTAAATAATGCAAAATATCGTATGAATACACAATTAAAACTTGTGATGATAATTGCCAGGGCACCAAAGTAATCCAATGTTTCTGTAATGTTATTATCATAAATATGAAAAATTGTACTGAAAGTCCAACCAATTAAGGAAACGATGATTAGATTTAGAAATTGTCCTAACATTACCGCATAAACATTTGTATTTCCAATTCCACCATTTTCTTTCTTGTTCTTTCTAACTTGTAATAACACTTTATAGAAATTCTTATAATTGACGTAAAAATTAGCAATGGAGAATATAGTCGAATAAAATTCTTGGATACCGAACATTCGAATAAAAGGCCATTTCCCATAGAATTGAACCATAGGTTCATCACGAGACAACCTTATATCAGTTATGAGTTGTTGACATTTATAATTACAATTCTTTTCTAAACTCCAAAGTGCTCTTAATGGAGAATAAATATCGAATCGAGGATTTTTAAAATCAGCCTCAATAAAAGTTATACCTCCGGTGGTGGTAGTAGTAGTAGTTTCAATTTCTCTCTTATCGACATCTGGATTCTTCTTAAATACTATATGACCATCTTCAATCACATCTTGACCACCTTGTCTTTCATTCTCAACTTTTTCAAATATAGTCAAGGTTGACTTCGGAGCATCTAGAATAATACATTGTTGAACACAGGATTGAAAGTCGATTAACCGATCACCCACAGATGCACAAGCTGATTCAAATAGTATAGCTACCAGTATCGCCAACTTTATAACCTTCATTTCTATTGCACTTTGTGAATGGATCAATGAATGAATGGTGGTCAATATGGTTTTTCACATCTTAAAATAATTTACACTTGAACGCGATCTTTACCAAAAAACATCTCGCGATTTTCCGGTAGGACAAAATATTGAAGTCAGTAACGTTGCAATATTAACGTTATAAAAATCATCCATTATGGTTTACTTCTCTTTTTCTTATTTAGATAAATAGTAAAGTACGTTCTACTAGCTAGTTTCTCAATTCATCTGCTTTTAAAGAGGAGGAGTAACATTATTGTGTACA